CCTCTGTAAGCCCTGGTTATCAGTGGATGCTCTCTGGCACCTGCTTCTTGCGATGTTTGCTTAGGAACAGGTTGTTTTCCTGTGATTTCCATAGGATCCAGGTCTGGATGAGTGCAGGGTGGGGAAGAGGAGGTGCAGGGAATGAAGAATCCTAAGCCTGCTGTCCTTGGTGGTACTTCCTCTACCCTGTCCTCCTCCATGCCAGCTCCTCCTGCTCTGGACCAAATGGCCCCACAGAAGACTTCCCTTTCCTCCTCCTCCCACAAGCATCAGCTAGAGGTTGGCCAATCCAGGAAGGAAAGGGAAAGCAGGAGGGAGGAACAGGTCCTCTGTGTCTCTAGCCTCCTCCGCAACTCTTCTTCCTTCTCCAGCTCTTCTCTCCTGTTCTTCTTAAGCTGCTGGATGACCTTTTCCAGTGTTTCCCACTAGGCCAGCGCTGTTAGTAATGATACTTTCAAACCATGCAGAAGAGTCTTAATGCATGTGATTTAAAAATAATGAGCCTGGCCAACATGGCGAGACCGTGTGTCTGCTAAAAATACACAAATTAGCCAAGCGTGGTGGCCCATGCCTGACATTCCAGCTACTGGGGAGGCTGAGGTGGGAGAATCGATTGAGTTCAGGGAGCAGAGGCTGCAGTGAGCCAAGATTGCACCACTGAACTCCAGCCTGAGATACAGAACAAGAACCTGTCTCAAAAAAACAAAAATAAAAACAAACAAAAAACCAAAACAACAACAAAAACAACAAAAAGCACAAAAAACGAAAACAATGGATTGTCCAGATTAATTTGGAGTGAACTTTGGAATGTATCATTTTTTTATTTTTAACTTTTTGTTGTTGACAGCAGATTTTCCTTTCTTTTTAGCTTAGCTTAGGACTATGAGGAAACTTGTATTTACTGAAGACACTGAGCTCACATCAGCTGGTGGAAGGATACACCGGCTTAGAATTGCATTTCATAGAATTCAAAACTGGAAGGTGGCTTAGAGAACATCTAGCCTGGTGCTGTCCAGTAGAATGTTCTACAATGATGGAATGTCCTATGACTATTCTGTCCCATATGGTAACCACTAGCTACTGTGGCTCTTTAGACACAGTGAAATGTGGCTAGTGTAACTGAGGAACTGAAATTTTAATTTTATTTAATTTTAATTATTCAAAATTTGAACTGCCACATACGACTAGTGGCTATCAACTTGGCGCAAATTTAGGATAGTGCTATTTATTTTATTCCCTTATTTTATTAATGATTATAACATTAGCCACTACTAAACAACTGGATGCGCCAGGTGTTCTTCTAGAGGTTTTATTTATTTATTTATTTATTTATTTTTTGAGACGGAGTCTTGCTCTGTGCCCCAGGCTGGAGTGCAGTGGCGCGATCTCGGCTCACTGCAAGCTCCGCCCCCCGGGTTCACGCCATTCTCCTGCCTCAGCCTCCCGAGTAGCTGGGACTACAGGCGCCCACCACCTCGCCCGGCTAATTTTCTTGTATTTTTAGCAGAGACGGGGTTTCACCGTGTTAGCCAGGATGGTCTCGATCTCCTGACCTCGTGATCCGCCCGTCTCGGCCTCCCAAAGTGCTGGGATTACAGGCTTGAGCCACCGCGCCCGGCCTAGAGGTTTTAAATATGTGATCTTATTTAGTCTTCCCAGCAACCCCAGTATCGTTACATGTTGCAGGTGGGGAAACTGAGACCCAGAAAGGGACAGTGACTTGGTACTGGTTAGTTATCAAGACTCCTGACTCTGAGACCACCGGCCTTATCCTTTTCCTTAAGGACAATCCACACGCTGTCCATTTCTTGCCATCACATGCCAGCTTTTTTCACAACTCTCCAAATCCCTTTCCAGATCTCCCTCTTCCTCTCCGGGATGTCAGGGGAGCTCACAAAGGATTGTCTCAGTCTGCAGCAAGTGCTCTCCTAGGCACAGTAGTTTTCTGGTTGGTTCCATGGTGGCCCTTGTTCCTAGGCTCCCTTTGGATCCTCCACCAGCAGGCAGCAGTGCAGGGATATCGCTCTGCCCTCAGAGCCCTTGGCAAGCTCCCCATGTTCAGGGGAAGTTCTGTGTTCAACATTTCCCACAATCCACCTGCCTCTAGCTTACCCTATTACTCCCAGTCTGAGAGAGAAGATCAGCTGAGCCCTCCTTGCAGGCCAGAGGCAGAATGGGTCTCCTTGGGCAGGTGAGGAGCAGCACTAACTTAGAGCCTGCTGTTGGCCCTCAACCCTTGTCATGCTACCCTCCAGCTGGGAGGCTCCTGCTCTCCAACTCTAGCTGGTTTACTGCTTTCCTCTTCCCAAGGCAAAGCTTCTGCTTTGTAGACTCTTATCAGAGTCTGGCTGGCCAGTAGGGAGGGGAGGGACAGGAGGGGGCATGAAGCAAATGCACCGTGCATACTGATCCCCGCGAGAGGGATTTGAGGCTGAGCTCCTGTCTCCTTCAGCCGCTATTCAGCATCCCAACCGGAATAGCACGTGCCCCCTCCTCCAGGCAGTGGTGAGCCTGCTGGCCTGCCCTACAGCTGCTGCATCAAACTCAAACAGTTATTCAGTTCCCCTGTGTGTAAGGTGCTGGGCAGGGGCACAGCAATAAAGGCCAGGCTGTGGACAGTGTGTGTGTGGCTGCCCTTCCAAGCCCCACATCCAGGCAGCTGTTGTCAGACTAATGTTTATGGGTAGCCCCCAGCCCACATCACACACAGTCCCCAGACCTGTAGCCCACAGATGTTATCAGTGAAAAGGTTTGTGGCCTCATTACTGTGTTCTTGGAGCAGACCTTGAAAAGCCGGCATCTCCGCCTGAACCATGAAGCTCTCTCCTGCTTTCCCAGAGATGAGGAGCTCAGATTGGGTGCATCACAGGGACAGAAAGAGGGAAGCCCAAGAAAACTCCAACTTTGACCTCTCCTGTCACTATAGCTGGGACAGTGCACCTCCGCTTCCCTGATTCTGAAATGGGCCTTCCTTGCCTCCCTCCCAGTGTAAGGACCAGAGACTGCATGAGTTTTATTTTTCTCTTTGTTCCATATGCCTTCAGAGCATCATAACCTTTCTTCCTCTGCTGTCTCGTCCAGTGGGAGATTTGTGTTGTCTACTGAAGAAGGCATCACTCAATACCTTTGTTTCCCTTTTAAAATGAGAAAACTAAGACACCAGACAGCTTGATTCTCAAATTGCTGGATTGGGAACCAAGAAGGCACTGGTAGCTTTTGATGATGGGGAAGGAGAGAAATCAGCCAGCTTCATAACTCTGCAAACATCCACTTTGTAAAATTCCTTTTGTGGGGTGGGGCAGGGTGGGATTGCTGCTCTCCGTAGGACACCAGAAGCAGATCTGCTGAGTTAGGGATGCAGAGACATGGTTTCAGTGACCTTCTGTAGACCCGGTGGTGGACAGCTGGGCTGCCTCAGCCTCTGAAGGGCAGGGGTTTGAGATTCAACTCAGAGCTGGAAGGGGGGTGGGGCATAATTAATTATTGCCCTGCCCTGTTACCCCTTGGGATCCGTTCCACATTGCTGGCTGTCAGGAGAAGGCAACTTGGAGGCGAGGGGGCTGGGGCCTTTTTTCTCTGCTTCTGTCTGGCTTAGCTACTGAGGAAAGGCTGAGAGGAGGAAAACCCAGAGCTGTAGGCAGCTGCTTCTCCTTTGAATTTCCCCTCTCTTTAGAAGGGAACAAAACAAGAGCACACAGCACAAGGAGGAGCTCCAGGGAGCTGGATTGCCCCAGTTCTCCAAGTTGGGTCAGGGTGAAGGAGAAAGTGTCTCCCAGTCTGCCCATGGCAGCTTCTGGTGGTAGAATCGCAGTTCTCCACAATTGGAAGACACTTCAGTGTTGAGACAGTTAAGGTCTGGCTGTACCCGGGAATGATATTCAATAATTCATCAACCAGAAAGGACGTTGGACTGGAGTCTTGGAGGGCCCTGTGGTGCCAGGCATTAACTCTTTTGTCTCTGGGTCATGGAGATGTGAGGAGGTCTCAGGCCCTGGCACAGAGGTGGGGCAGGGACACTCGAGGGACTTGGGGGAGCAGCTTTTCACCCACCAACATGGAAGAGCTTCAGTATTTGAATCACTGGCATGGTTATGCTGTCTACTTTGGTTGTCTTCATTTTTCAGAAGACAAATGGAATTCCATAAAGTGAAACAACAAGTTTAAAGATGAACCAAGCTAGGGTGGGAGGTCAGAATGAAGTTCCCCTGTATGATCTCCATGTTTTCTCTCATGCACACACATGTGCGTGCACACACACGAGCTCGAACCCATTACCCTGATTGAAGTACACCTTGCCCTCCTGCCCTCAGCCTACCATCTTAGGCCTTCCTATCTCCTCTCATAGGAATAAGGGACCACCCAGGCCCAGAGCAGGGGCTGGGAGACACTACAGTGAGAGAATAGGGGAAGGAGAGCACCTGGGCTGGAAGGGAAGAAACCTGGACCTAGCCCCCTGATTTGTGATTTCTCTCACTTGTCCATGGAGCCATCTCTTCTATCTTTTGTCTGTGGTGGGAGCTGGGCTCACATAGAACATGCCCAGCCTTCCATAACCGCCCATAACAGGTTTGGGATGGGGCTGGGGGTGCGGTGAGGATGGGCAGAGTTAAGCAGGAAAGGGAGCAGCATGGGTCTTGTCTCCTAGACATGCAGCTGAGTAGCTTAGGACGTTTCAATAAACTGGCTTGGGGCAGAGACGTACCATCTTCTTGACACTTTGGAAATAACTGTGGCATCAAAGTGGGGGATGAGCAAGGGCAAAGAAGAAAGGCAAAAGCAAGTACAAGGCTGGATGACAGCCACTGGCAGCTGGTCTCCAGCACCCAGAGAACTGGTATTTTGATCTTCAAGGAGCACATGGAGGAGAGACAGTGGGTATTGTTGTTTTTAGAGACGGGGGTCTTGCTCTGTTGTTTTTTAGAGATGGGAGTCTTGCACCTCAGGTTGGGGTGCAGTGATGCTATCATAGTTCACTGCAGTCTTGACCTCCTGGGCTCAAGTGATCCTTCTGCCTCTGCCTCTGAGTAGCTGGGACTACAGATATGTGCCACCATGCCTGGCTAAGGCAGTGTTGTTTGGAGGAGCTCCTTCCTACCTGCAAATACCTAGAGGGGGTGCCAGGGCCTGACCCTCTTTGACCTCTTCTTTATGTGGCAGCAATACGTAGGAAAACAGAGAGCTTCAAATGAGAAGTGGCTAGGAAAGTGTATTTTCTCCTGGAGATGGCAGGGGGAGCTTCAGGAATCAGGTGCATGAAAATGGCTGGAAACATAAACTGAGTTGGTTTTTAATTGGGACAGGATGCTGGAGCAGATAAGCCTCCTTGAAAATAATGATGAGATCCAGATGGGGAGGCACAGAGCAGGAACCAACCCTCTCCCCACCTTCCCCTCCTCTGTGGCAGCAGCAATCCTCCCTGGAGTGTGGACAGTCTCGGCTTGGAATTTGCTAGCTAGGAGAAAGAAGGAAGTGGGAGGGATGGGACCCCCTTTCCACTTGCCTTGCACGCAAACCTCTCTCAACCTAATGAGCTGTAATGCTGGAAGCCAAGTCATCCTCAGGATGGGGAAGCCAGGCCAGGGCTAATTCTTTGTCAGCAGATTCTCAGGAGCTATGGAAATGAAGCAGCTTGGTGTACAGCAGATAATCAAGAGAGGCCCAGTGGGTGGAAGGAGTGGAGTATCTCTCCAGTCGTTCAATATTGATCACAGTGGGGTTCCAGGCGTCCAGCCTGGGTGTGTGTGTGCACGTGTGCACATGTATGAACATGCATGCCTGCAAAAGATCATGAAACTTGGATTAATTTTTGCCACTCTTGACAGCGTAGTGCCAGGTATACTGCATGTGGATGCTGACTCTCCAGGGGGATGTTTGGAGATGAAACAATGCAGTGTTATCTCTATGTGAGGTGCTGTAGGGGCTGAGGATGTCTCTTGAACTACAGGAAAGATTTAAGTAGGTGCAGAGACAAAGGCCTGGAAAATGGAGAGGATCTGCTTCTTTTCTTTGTAATTTATTGGTCTTGGGACTTCCAGAGTGCCTGCCCCTGGCACTCCCAGCCCATGCCGCATACACAATCTTCTTAAGCCTGGGACTATGTGTTTTTCATTTTTTCGCTCCTGCATCTGGCGTATTTCTTAATTTGTTTTTCACAGCCATTATCTCTTCTGCATCAAATGGTCCACATTTTGAAAGTTTACAGCTATTATTTCATAGAGTTAGCATGTGTGCTGGTGAAGCGAGCACTAGTATTTCATATAGTTAGAAGGTACCTCATTTACACATGAGAAAACTAAGGGCCCAAGAAATAAAGTCACATTGCTAACTCAGGTTGGATCTTGGACTGAATGTTTGGTCCTGCCATATTTGTTCCCACTGACGGCACTGCCATCAGGGCCACCCTCATAGTGCATAAGTGACCACCAACTGGACTGCTCTGGAGTTTAGGACTGCTTCTACCTCCACCACACGATCTCTTTTACCACCTGAGATTTTCCCTTCTCTTGGGCGGAATTTGAGAGGTCCATTTGGATATGTATTCATAGATTCATAATCATTTGTCCTTGACAAATGGAAGCCTTTCGACATCCCAAAAGGAAAGAGAGAGGAAGGAGAAAACGGATTACCTATTGTTTCCCTTTTTAATGTTCTGCCTCTTGTAAGTTCTTCTTGATGTCTAACTAAAATGAAAATCTGCCATACTGTGCAGTTTGTTGGCAAAGGGAAAGAACCCCTGCTAGACATTCTGTGTGCAGACTTAATTCAGAGGATTTCGGAGCTCTCGATGAGCAGGGGAAGCCCCAAGCCTGCCTTCGTTCCTACTCCCTCGTGCTATCTTTACAGGGCATAGGAGAAGTAATTTAACTTGCAGCTTAAGCAAAGGCTGTGGGAGGCCCCTGAGCTCAGCTTGAAGAGAAAGGGGATATTTTTGCCTTCTAGAGGAAGAAAGCTCATTTTCCCAAAGCACCCCTACCCCCTCCTCCTTCTGTGCAGATGAGCTTAATTTTCTTCCCCTCCTACTGAAGGTGGATCAAAGCCAAGCTATGTATTCAAGGGGGAGATAGGCAGGGAAGCTGAGTGAGGGGGCGAGGGGGCAGAAGCAGAGCTTCTCTCATGGAGAGGAAGTAATTAATTTTAAGAGAGAGCTAAGATAGGGAAACCCTTGGTGATAGAATGTCAAACTCCAAATGCAGGTGGTTAAAAATTAAGTCAGGGCTGGAGAGTTTCTATTATTCATTCATTCAACAAATATTTATCGAGCACCTGTTTTGTATGGGCAGGAACCTCAACTGGGCATCAGGAGAGGGCCCAAGAAACTGGATTAGGGACAGGGAAAGGAAGCGATCTGAAAACTGAGGCCTCCTCTCACCAGGATAAATCATTTGCAAAAGTCCCATGAAATAGCTGAATGTATTGACCTTCTGGATTTAAGATTAAGCTATTTAAATATCAGCAGCGGTTGACCCCAGTTATATCGTACCAACATGTCTCATTATGGGTTAAATAATAATGTTGTCCATTTGCTTTTCCATTCACTGATGACATTATTCCCCGATAAAGTTCTTGCTCCATCCAAAAAATTAGATTAGCCCCTTCCTTTCAGTGTCTGTTGTGACATCACAGAATTGCCATAGCAACAGACTGTGATGTCAGCAGGCTGCCTGGTGCTGCTAAAAAGAACCACGTTGGTCAAAAAAGGAATCTGTCATGTGAAGACGAAATGGAATAATATAGAAAGCCAGAGGAACTGAAACGTGATATCAAAAAGAACATCTTGGCAGGATAAGATAACAGTGGGTCTGGAGCCTCCTTTGCTAGAACTCTTTACAGAAAACCAAGGAACTTAATGAGGATTGATTGGAGAACAGACTTGCCTAGAAGCAGGGGGATGGCAGCGATGCCCTTCGGAAGGCCCTCGCAGTCCAAGGATCCTAAGACATGAAGGACATTAGGAAAGGGGGAGCGCTGACCATCTTTAGCCGCTGAAGAATTCAGGGGAATTAGCATTGATACAAACCTCCTTGCTTCTGAGCAGATCTGACAGTCACCAGCTGGAATGTATCATCTCGTGTCTGGGAAGATTTTCAGCCATAAACACACAATGACCCCCTCTCAAGCCCCATTTGCCGCCCTATTCCTCGCAAGCCTTGGGAGGAAGCTCTCCTTTAACGTTGCCTGAGCAGTCCCATCCCAGCCACCAGCTCTGGCTCCACAACGTCCACGCCCATCTGGTCGACTTGCTTCTCATCTGTAGGACCGCCACACAGGGAGGGAAAGCAACCCTGTGCTGTCCGAGGGGAGCAAGTCGGAGGGACGGGGGCAGAGGAGCTTCATTCATTATGCTCCTGTCCACACAGAAGAAGGCTGGGCAGGCTGACAGAAGGGAAAGGAGACCTGCTCAATCAATCTCAGCTTCTCAGCAGCGGCAGCAATAACAGCAGATGAATCTGGAGCTTCATTTAACCCTTATGCCCACAGGATCTGAAGGATCTCTGAGAAGCAAGTTGATTTTCAGCTTAGGAGCCTGTGTTGTGAGTTGGGAATTGGAGAGGCAGGAGGACTGTCTCCCTACAGGTCGGGCTGGCATGAGTTTCAGCCGTGCAGATGGGAACGCAGCCCCAGACTCCTTCACCCGCCCAGCTACTCTGCGTCCTTAGCTCACTGAGGTCGGACTACCTGGGAGTGCTACACCTGCTCCGTGTATGTCTGTCTCTCTATTTCAGCATTTTCTCCTTGGGGAGCTGAATGGGGAGGATATCATCCCCTCCTTGTTTATTCTGCCTCCAGTCCTCTGACCAGTAGCATTCTGGCCGAATACAAGGAAGCCACAGGCCTATTAGGGCACCTAGGCGACCCCTACCACCACCCAAGGAGAGTGCCCTCCTGGTTCTCCAGAGCCAGAGCCAGGAGGAGGGGGAACTGCCAGAGTCTCTGCCACCGATCGCTCTGCATCTCTGCCACAGCCTTACCAGTTGGACCAGAGGACTTACTTCTCAGAGGCATGGTAGGAGCAGGGTGGCCGGCGGGTCCTCTGAGGCTGCCAACCTGGGGACGGACCTGCCAAAAAGATGTTGAAGTTTCGGGCTGATCGACGGGTCAGGTAGGGATTTCTTCCACAGATCATGAGCCAAGTTAAGTCAGAGCAAGCTGAGTTGGCAGCTCATCCTGCTTGGATCCAGGGGCTTCAGAGTAAGGGGTCTGCTTGAGATGACCTGGAGAAGGAAGCATAGTTAGGTCAATGGTTGCTGCATTGCAGTGCTTGTGAAGGGGAAGCTATTTTGAAATTGGTAGTGCCGGGATAGAATGAGGACGTCATTTGTAGGGGTTGCTGGGTAGGAAAGTCTGGGGCTAGGAGAGATGTGCCATTCCCTAGAAGTCTTGTGATGGTTGGCAGCAGACTGTGTGTGTACGCTTCTGTGTGTGTGTGTGTGTGTGTGTGTGTGTGTGTGTGCGCGCGCGCGTGTGTGTCTATGCCAGTGCCTGCAGGGAAGATTCCAGCAGTTATCATTGGGAACACGCAGAGCAGAAGGAGACTGGAGGGTCAGTGCAGGGGGCGGGTGCCCTGCGCCACTGGGAAAAAGCAGAAAACTTGACACCTCAAAGGACACTGTAGTTGCCGCAGACTGCTTGCCCCCCAGACCACTAGATGGGACAGAATCAGGGGCAGACAAGGGTCACCGGAAACAGTGACCCTTCCTTGCAAAGATCCCCTGTGATTAAATTGAGGAGCATGTCCTTGTTGGACCTGGGAGGGAGGTGGGAATAAAGTTTGGGAAGTAGGGAGTGGCTTATCAACGTGCTAGACTCAGAACCCAGGTCCGGTGGACACGCGCCCGATTTTGGGTCCTGACTGGCAAACCTGAGCTGCAAAGCCCAGATTTCCGCACAGACTGTAGGCACTGCCTGCTGTGCTTTTATCTCCTGCATGTCTTTGGATTACATCTGAGCGTGACAGCTTTGGAAACTGAAAAAAACAGTCTTTGATATTATCTTTAGCTTTAGCAGACAGCCCAAGGGTTGGGATGTGTCCTGGGCTATTGAAAGGGGGCCCCCAAAAGGTTATTTTCCTTCTCTGATGCAACTGAAGGGACTAAGCTAAGATCTCCTTCCTCTGCTGCTGGCTGACCTGCCACTTGTCAAGCAGAGCTGGCCCTTTGCTGTGGATGTGCTTGAGTGGCCCAGTCTCCATGGCCTCTGGCCTAGTGCCTGCTTCTTCCGGTAGTTTGGCACCTACGCTGGGTTCTCACAGTATTTCTCAAGAGCGATGGGCGACGAGGCCCTTAACTCATCTAGTCCCTCCACTGGCTGGATGCTTGAATCTCCACTGCTACATTCTTGTCAAGTAGTCGCAGCTTACAGGATCCATCTCAGGGGTTGCCATTGCGGCTTAGACCTGCTGCATCAGCCCCTCTGCGCTCTGTCTGCTGCCTTCCTCCCCATCTCCCTTGAGAGCCTCCTTGGGAACTCTCCTGACACTCAGCCAGCCGGAGGAGCCACAGCAGGTCTTCCCAAGGAGCCTCCACGATGCTGCTCCCCATCTGCCTCTGCACTTACCCCCTGACCCCCCAACCCCTGGTTCCTGCTCCCTTCTGCCTCCTGGCAGGCCGTCCTCACAACACCCTGCCCCTTTCCTGGCCACAGCATCCCTTAATGAGATTGGACTGTTGAGCTACCACTGACCTTCATACCTGACAGCCCCTGAGGTCTCAATGACATCAAGCAGCCCTTGGACAGGAGACCCTGGACTTAGAGTGTGGGTGGGTCCAAGTCCAAGCTCAAGAATGGAGTTTTTCGAGCTCTCATTTCCTTTTAAGAAAGAGACACAGCATAAAGCAGGAGAAGGAGAAGGAGTCCAAGGTCACAAGAAAGTTTTTTCAGCAAATAATGAGGGAGCTTTTTTTTTTTTTAAATGTGGCTCACCGGCAGGCTCTGTCCCTGGGAAAGAACCTGCCACGCATGAGGCCCTGATGTGCTGAACTGGTTGTTGGAACCCCTCTTCCCCACACTTAGGATAAGCACTGAAAGAGTTCGGTGTGGCTTGTTTCCAGCCCCAGAGAACTTTAGTAAGTAGTTGGCACTGACTCGTGAGAGGTGACCAGGTTTCATTTCTTCCTTTCCCCACCCCCTGCCCCCACCCTCATCCGGATGTCAGCCCAGGCCTGCCATGGATCCCCCTGGAGGACAGAGGCACAAGCTCCTTACATGATCACCTGTCCCTGTCACCACCCAGGGTCTGTCCACATGTTGGTTTTTGTCTCTGCCGCCTTCATCTTTACCATGACTCTTCTGTTTTTCCCTCTACAGCCACAATGAAAGACGGAACACATTTCTACACCCAGTGACTGGCCAGGTCCCAGACGAAAACAAAACATTTGACTTGAAAATGTAAGTGTGTCCCCTACTTGCTGTTTGGCCTTTCTGTCCTTAACCACTACCATCCCACCGCCTCCTTGCAGCTGGAAAGCAGAAGGCAACGGGGAGGGGAAAGGAAAGCAGAAGGGCTTTGCAGTCAGTCACCTCGGTTCTGAGGACTGGAAGCATCTGAGACCCATCTGGCTTGACACCCTCATCCACTTTTCCTAGGGTCTAGCAGAAGCCAGGTTGGCGTACCCTGCAGGTTGAGCTGATGGAGTAGAAGACAGGTGTGAGGCTGGCATAGCACCCAGGGGCCTTTGAGGGAAGAGCTGAGAAAATCTGATATGATCATGAGAGCCAAATGCTAATTCCTCTCACTGTGGATCCTGGCTCACCGAATGAAAGGAGAAGAAGAGAAAAGAGGATTAATTAATCTACTCTCATAGGCCACTAGGCAGTTGTGTCTTTTAAAGTAGAGGAAAAGGATTTCTGGAGCCCCAGGGTCTAGACTTTTAAAATAAATGTCCAGGGCCGGGAACAGGTGGCTCATGCCTGTAATCCCAGCGTTTTGGGAAGCTAAGGTGGGAGGATCATTTGAGTCCAGGAGTTTAAGACCATCCTGGGCAACATAGTGACATTCTGTCTCTCTAAAAAAAATAAATAAATAAAAGTTAACTGGGCATGGTGGCCCATGCCTGTGGTCCCATCTCCTCTGGAGGCTGAGGTGGGAAGATCACTTGAGCCTAGGAGTTCGAGGCTGTGGTGAGTCCTGATTGTGCCACTGGCTACAGACTGGGTGACAGAGCATGACACGGTCTCAAAAAATAAATAATTGTCCAAGGTCACTGGCATATAATTTCAGAAGGGTTGAAGGAGTGGCTGAGGTGACCGCTCAGTGGCACTCAAGAGATCTAATTTTGTGTTGATGCTGAAACAGTGGGTGGCAGGATGTGGAAAAGGGATGGGTCGTTTCCATTGTTTCTTGGCTCTCACCAATCTCTTTTTTCTGGTTGACTTGAAATCAGATCAGCCTTGGACATGTCCAATAAAACAGGTGGGAAACGCCCGGCTACCACCAACAGTGACATACCCAACCACAACATGGTGTCCGAGGTCCCTCCAGAGCGGCCCAGCGTCCGGGTAAGTCCAGCCCTCAAGGCAAGCTGTTGGGCTGGAAATGTCTTCAGTGCATGTTTAGTGGAATCTCTGGGAATCCTAGGAAATCGTAGCCTGTCCAGCTATTTCTGCAGGCTCCAAGAGTAGGCAAGGTGACCCAGAAAGAGAGTGGAGAGTAGGAAGGGAAGAGGGCTCAGATCAGAACCTCGTAGAAGACCAACATCTAGACCAGGGGTTCTCAACCTCAGCACTGCTGGCAGTTGGGGTTGGATGATTCATCGTGCTATGAGACTGTCCTGTGCATTGTAGGATGTTGAGCAGCATTCCTGGCCTCTGCCCACTAAATGCCAGTAGCGCCTCTTTTCCAGGGGTGACTATCAACAATGTCTCCAGATATTGTCAGGATTTTTTGTCCCTTGGGGACAAAATCTCCCCAACCTCATTGAGAACCACTGGTCTTGAAGGACAGTCACGAAGGTCATGGCGATTGAGAGCTCAGAGAAGGGGGAAGGAAGGAAGAGAGCCCCAGGAGAAGGAAATCTAGAGAAGAATGTTGCAAAGAGGGCCAGGAAGACAAAGGCTGAAAGTGTCCTCTGGGTTTAGCAGCAATGTGGTCACTGGGGACCCTGACAAGGGCAGTTTGAGTGGTGTGAGAAGAGCAGAAGGCAGGCTGGAGAGGTAAAAGTGGGGATGGGAGAGGAGACATAGGAAGAGCATAGTGTAGAAACTGCTCTTCTAAGGAATTAGACAACAAATGTTAGTATATCATCACATAATGGAGCACTTGCCAAAAATTAAAATGAACTGGAGCTATATGTATTAACAAGGATAAATCTTGAAAATATAACATTGAGTAAAAAGCAAGTGGCAGAATATGAGAAATATGATATCACTTATGTAAATGTACAGACATGAAAAGCAGTACTACATATTTATAGGAACATCTGTAGTAGAAGTGCATAATCATGGACAGGAAGACTAATTTTGGGTCAGTGGTTGCCTCTAGGGAGGAAGCAAAGGTAATGAGACTGGTGAGGGGCTTGAGGGAGTTTTAGCTCCAGTTGTCTTGTTTTATTAGGGCAAAACAACATGAAATGATGATCATCGTATTATTCCCTACTTTTCTGAAATGTTTGAAATACTTCAAAAAAGTGTTTTTAAAGACACTTGACTGTGATGGGAAACGGAAGGGCAGGGAATGGAAGCTAGAAGGTAACACAGGACTGGAGGGAGGTTTCATTTGTTGGTTTTGTTTTGTTTTAAGATTTCAGAGGTGTGAGGGGAATGGGCCAGTAGGTAGTAGGTTCGGGAGAAAGAGGACAGCCAGTGAGTCACATTTCTATGGAGATGGAGAGAGTCAGATGCAGAGGTGCTGTTAGACTGGATGGGGAAAAGCCACCTCTTCCTGAAACTGCATTAAAAGAAGGCGTGTGAGGCTAGGGAGTGGGTGTCTAGGAAATTAAAGAGACTCTCACATGATGTCCTCAACTTATGCAGGAAAGTAGGAGGCAGAGTTTTCTGCTGAAAGGAATGGGGTGGGTGGGGAAGCATCAGGTGCGGGGCTGGGAGCTTGAAAATACGTGATACAGGTTTGGGGAATAGGAATGATGGTCAATGAAGGACACATGAAATGTTGCCCTATACTTTCAAAGGATCATCTGGGGCAGTCGAGTGTGATTCTATGCAGCCCTAAATCTGCAGGTTTGCGTGGTTTTCCTCCAGCATGCTCATAGCCTGGCTGTGAGAGCAGGGAAGGCAGGTAGTTGGATTAGCCTTAGTTTGCCGAGAAGCTATGGCAGAAAGATAGGAGGCCAGGATATTCAGGAGTTAGTGGGAGGTTGCCTGGAGTGGTAAACTATGGGGTGGCAGCCTCTAGGCCATGGAGAGAGGGGGCAGAATTATGAAAGAGTTGGACTGAGAGAAAAGGGTAGGATTTAGAGATTTGCATAGGGTTGTGGTGACTTCTTCCAAAGGCGAATCTCAGTCATTATATGTGTATTTTTGTTAGTAATGTTCAGATAATAATTTTATTTCCCAGTTGTGGGAGTACTTTATAATAAAGGCCAATTTCTTCCTTACTTCCTTCTGCAAACAGTTGCTGAGTGCTTGTTATGGCTGGACACCTTGCCAGTTCTAGTGAGAAAGATGAAAAAGACAAAATTCCTCCCTGCAAGGAGCTCATGGTGCAATGGAGGAGATAGAAAGCTGCACTGTGACAGGTTTTAGGCAAGGGGTGTCCAATCTTTTGGCTTCCCTAGACCACACTGGAAGAAGAAAAATTGTCTTGGGCCACACATAAAATATACTAACACTAACAATCTCTGATGAGCTAAGAAAAAAAAAATCATAATGTTTTAAGAAGATTTGTGTCAGACTGCATTCAAAGCCATCCTGGGCCGCATGTGGCTCACGGGCCATGGCTTGGACTGTACAGATGTGTGGAGAGTAGTGTGCAGCTAACCACTCAGGGGCATCAGGACTTCGTGGAGCGGGGGAGTCTGCAGCAAACTTTAAAGCATGAGTTGGGATTTGACGGTGGCCAAGGGAGGATGGGTCCTCCCCCAATGCCAGGGAGCACGCTGCGAAAAGCACAGGAGGATGAGAGAACCAGAGGCAGGGCCTGTCTGGTGAAGGGACAGAAGGTGGGTGACAGGCCCTGCCAGATCTCACAAACCTGTCCTCTGTGCTGTGCTGAGGAATCCAACCTCTCTCCTGAGTGATGAGTGCAAGAGAGAAATAGGATTGTTTGTGTTTTGGAAAAAAGCCTTAGTTCGTGGTAGAGGGCAGACAGCAAGAAGTGATGGGGACCTTTAAGACAACAATAGTGGAATTTGAGAGGGAAGAGCAGATTTGAGAACTATTAAGGAGACAGACTCATCAGCCCTGTATGCACGGTTGCGTAATGGAACAGAGGAACGAGGGACCCATGGAAGATAACACGGAGTTCTAGGGTGGGTGGCTAGGTGGCTCATAGTACTATTCACCAAGATGAGAAGTACAGAATAGGCTTGGTTAGAAAGAGAATGAGTTTGGTTTTGCACTTATTTAATCCTGGCCAGACAAGCAGGTATAAAATGGGTTGAGCTGGAAGAGAGGTCTTGGCTGTAGCTTAGGGAGCTTTTATCATATTACTCATAGCGGAAGCAGTGGGTATGGATGAGGTAACACAGGCATGATGTAAAAATGAGAAAATAAAAATAAAATAATAAACGTGTGATTGAGGCCCACCAACACTTGGAAAGTGGAAGTAGGGGAGATTGAGAAGGAGTGGCCACAGACGGAGGTATTGAAAGGGAAACAATAGTGTTGTAGAAACTCAAAGAAGAGTTCCAGGAAAGTCAGAAAGGTTATGATTGCCCAATGCTTTAGAGTGAGTGGCCTTAATTCCATAACAGTGCAAGAGCCATTTCAGAAAATAGGTAGAGGAGGTTTAGGAGTGATGGAGGGAGAGAAAGTTGAGACTCTTCCCAGGAGCCTAGGACTGAAGAGTAAGTAAGGGAAGGTATTACCTCACAGTGGACCTTGGGTTATAGGGTTGAAAGGGGAATTTGGGTATGTGTGTGGCAGCATGAGAGAGAGAGACAGAGACACTTTCAGATGGAGAGACTTGAGTGCCTTTGCTGAGGAGAAGACATCAGTGGAGGAGGAAGCATCAGAGATATATTTGAGAGGAGATGATCGGTGGAGCTAAGTCTCAGAGGACACAACGGGTTAGAAATGTTAGCCTTGGAAGGAGGGCAGCACCTCTTCTTTTGACACTGAAGGGGAAGAGGCAAAGATAGTGTAAGTACAGTCATTTTCTAGGTAAAAGGGTGTGACATTGAGGGAGTGCATGTCTAATAGCCTCGAATTTCTCTGTGGAGGAGCAGATCCACTGTGGGGACCTCCCTCTGGGGAGGGCAGAGGCAGGGGGGGTAGGGGGGCTGGGAGGATGGTGAGGGTGTGGAGTGGAGCTGCCATCTGGTGCTGAGCCTCCTGGGATTGGGACTGTGGCTCTGTGGCAACCTCATCTGTATGGCAGTGTGATATTTTTTTTTCTCCGGCAGCACCATAATCTGGCTATCAGTGCAGGGAGAGTAGATAATTTGATTCATTTGGAGCGCTGTATTGAGTTTTAGAGAAGGTGAGGTAGGAAGACAATAGATGGGGTTTGTGAGAGCCCAGTTGATATACTCCACCATGGGGCCTAGGCTTTGTAGGGAAGTAACGAAAACTGGGAGGAGCTGATGGATCCAGAAAAAAGGAGAATTGAGGAGCTGGGGACCTCAATGGAGTAGAAAAGCTGGTATTGAGTTAATGGAGTGAGAAAGCCCAAAGGGTGGAATGTTGGGATCAGAAAGCAGGAATCCTGGAAGTGAAGATGGTAGCAGCGGAGGGGCTTGGGGTGCTGAGAAGACTAAAGGTGTAGACCTGGGAGCGTTGCTGGAGTACAGGTGGAGAATGCTGGAGCTGAGGACATCAAAGCTGTATAAAGTTAGGGCATTGCTGGGTCATGCTCCTGAGCAAGGAGATTTTCCACAGTGATGCAAGACAGAATGAAGAGGAGGACTAACATCAAAACCCTTAGACTCTGAAAGAACGATTGAGAAGCGGACAGTGATGAGAAGGATTAAACAGTGGGAGATCAGGCAGTGGTGCTTCCAGCAAGGTGGACTATTGCCCGAGTGTGGAAGAATGACAGTGTTCACATGGCAACCCAGAGCTAGAACATCCGTCTCTCCTCGCGGCTCCGTGTTATGTTGGGCACGAGACGACGCACGGGACCCTCAGAGGACGAGGATGCGGGGAGTTAACTTGCAGAACGCACTGTGGAAGAGAGAGGGAGTAAGGCGGCTGGGAGTAGGATAGGCCAGAGTGAAATTGGAAATCTTATTATTTTCACCTCCAAAAAGACCAAAAAGCTGTGAGACAGGTAGAACTATTATTTTATTTTTTTGGAATTATTATTTTGAGCCCTATTTTAGAAATGAGAAACATTGCCAAAGAACTGGAAGGCCCTGCTCTTGAGTTAATAATAGATCCAAGATTCACACCTAGGCCCCTTGGCTTGAGGGCACCCCGGGGTTAACCCTAGGGAGAAGCAGCTCTAGCAGGGGTGGCTCCCTTGCAGATAGAGCAGGAAGGAGGAGACTGGGGACCTAGGTCAGCTTCTCTTTCTGCCCCTAGGCAACTCGCACAGCCCGCAAAGCTGTCGCCTTTGGCAAGCGCTCACACTCCATGAAGCGGAACCCCAATGCACCTGTCACCAAGGCGGGCTGGCTCTTCAAACAGGTGAGGCCACCCTGCTGTTCTGGCCACCATAGCCTCCACCTTTTCCTCATAGAATGAGGATTCCTCTGTGCTTATGACAGTCCATGTATTTTTTTGGTATGTCCTCCTGCTGTCTCTGTGAATGAGTCTCCTAATTTTATAAAGGCTCAGAGAAACTGAGTATCTTCCCAAAGTCACACAGAAAAATTTGTGTCAAACTTGGGAACCCAGCCCATGTCCTGATGGGCAGATGCAATGACCTTGAAACATGCTGAGTCCCTAACCCCATGGAAACAACCCACTAGCTCCCCAGCAGGTCCTGTTTATTATGGTGGGGGGTAGGGGTGTCTCCTGAAAGTCTAGGGTTCACAGATTGGCACCAGATTGGCCTTGCTGCTATCCCTGCCTGCCCTTCCACTCACTCGTTCTGCCCATCTCTTGCCCCTGTTCTCCTCCCCGGGGGAGGCACTGAATGACAGAACTGGAAGGTCATAGGCAATAATCTAATGTCAGTTCCTTGCATCTGAGGTCTCCAGGGGTTGCTGCCGTGCATTAACAGCAGAGCCGCAGCTAGGGCCACGACGTCCTTATAATTGACATGGTGCCCTTTTCCCCGCATTCCACCTCCTCTTCCACTTCCAGCCTGCGGCCCTCACATCTGCCTCTCCCATGTCCCGCAGGCTAGCTCCGGGGTTAAGCAGTGGAACAAGCGCTGGTTTGTCCTGGTGGATCGCTGCCTCTTCTACTATAAAGGTGAGCTTGGCCCTTGGACTGGCAGGGATGGCAGGAAACCAGGACCCACCACTCTTTCTCGTTCTGCCATATCTCCAAGCTTGGCTTTGGATGGGCACCGGCAGGGCAGATCTCCTCACTGTGGTCCTGGCACCAGTGGCAGTGGGATAAAAACAAAGCTCACTTGTTCACTCATACACTCACTCACTCACCCATTCAGTTCGCATTCAACAATGCTTGCTAGGTTTCAGGCAGAGTTCCAGTGATACACTGAGTGAACAAGGTGGTCATATGGCTGGTGAAATCCTGGAGGAATGGGGAGAGAGGACAAGGACAAAGAGTAAGAGGTCACTAGTCACTACTAGCAGGTCACCTACTAATTGGAGCTTGTGTGTGGCCTTTCCTCCTGTCCCACTGGAATGTACAGTCCCATCTGTGAAGGCAGGAACTTTTGTCAGTGTTGGTCACTGCTGTATCCACAGCACCCAAAACACTGCCTGCCATTTAGTCGGTGCTCAGTCAATACTGAATGAGTGAACATAATATCCTCCAGCTTCACCTTCTCTGCTGACCCCAACACCCTTTCCCTACTCTCTATTTTTAAAAGTTGTGCCAAGGCAGGCTGGGGGCCACCAGCAAGGGTTGAGGTCAGTGATGGTGGCGCCATGTGGATGCAGGGGAGGAAATGGGTGTGAGGGATGAGAGAAGAGAGGGTACAATGATTATGAAGCAGGAGAGGCTCTTTCCTTCACTCCCTTGGCCCAGGAGGGCACAGCCCTGATTTCCAGGCCTCCTGGGAGCAATTCAGTGAATCATTAACTTTGGCAAACAAAGGTTGTACCTAGTGACCCTGCAGAGCACTGCTGTCCCTGGTTGCTGTATTGCAGCCACCTGAACCCCAAGGAGGGAAAACAGGAAGGGGCTGAGCATACAGAGTCCAGTCCCAGAGAAAAGGCCAAGACTCAGGGAGAGGAATCTGCCCAGGCCTAGGACCCAGGTGCTGAGCCTCCAGGATATCGGGCCACAATGGAGCCAGAGTGGGAATGAAACTGAGAGGAAAATGGGAGTCTCTACAGAGGAGAGACTTTGGGAAGCAGTGGGGGTAGAACCTCAAAGAGCTGAGAACCCAAAGGCTCAGGACACACCAAAATGGAGGTCACTGTTCACCAAGAGATGGACTCAGGACTTACCTAAATGCTGGCCTGGACTCTGCCAGGCAGGGGCTCGATCTCTGGAGGACAAGAGTCTCAGTTCTCCTGAAGGCAGCCCTGGGGTCCAACCCTGAGTGCCTCCTACTACTCTGGTTTGCCCCTTCCTCTAGGTACCATGCTGGGGTCCAAATAGAGAAGCTGATCTGTGGGCCAAGTATTGTGTAGATGTGATGAGTAAGAGGAGAAGCAGGGCTTGAGGAGTTTATAACCCTACAGAGGTTTCTTCTGAACCCTAGCTGAAGGTTTTTCAGAGTCCTCAGCCTGGGGAACAAATAGCGATCCCAGGGAAGTGGGGAGGGCCTTGTCATGGTCTCATAATTGTCCCCCCACTGTCCCACAGAGCACTCCCCGCCCTTTCTTGCCTCCTGCTGACAGCGGGGGGCCCAACTGGCCAATCCATCAGGCTCGTTTGGAGATCCGGGATGAATTATGTAATAGCTGGACTGTTAGAGCTCCAGGCAGGGGTGCCTTTTCCTATGGAGACATAGAACCTCAGCGGGGATCTGCAGCCGGAAAGGGCAAAGTAGGCTCTGAGTGACAGGGAGAACCTTAGAAAGAGTGACCCAGAGGCACCAGAGAGCAGAAGGTGGGACAGTCCACTCTACAATGATCTGTCCCATCACCTTGTTACATATGTCACTGGTGGGATGGTCTCGTTTAGCGAGGCAGGATAGATAGGAGAGTGGTCAACAATGCTAGCTTTGGAGTTCACTTTTTGTGTTTGAAGACCAATTTTATCCCTTGTTCCTTAAGTAACCTTGGATAAATCATCTAACCTCTTTGTGTCTCAGCTTCCTTACCTATAAAATAAGGGTAATAATAAAGGTAATAATAGGACCTCTTCATGGGTTTGTTGGGAGGATTAAATCCATTAAGGCATTTCACTTAGAACAGTGCCTGAGCTTCCAAATATCAGCTGTTATTTCTTTGTTTATTTGTGCACTAGAAGGCGAATTCCCTGAGGGTAGGCACTATTTCTCTCTTATTCACCTCTGCAGTCCCAGTGTCTGGAACAGCATCTCCAGGGCCATCACACTCCCTAACTCCAGGGAGTGTCCTCTCAGAGCATGTGTGGTGGCCCTGAGTGCCTGACAAATAGGAGGTGAACAATAAATATGTATTGATATTATCAGGGAGGAGCATTACACTCCTCCCCACCCCTGGTGTGCGTGCGCACACACACACACACACACACACACACACCCCCTTCTTGTGCCTCTCTCCCTGACAGATGAGAAGGAAGAGAGTATCCTGGGCAGCATCCCCCTCCTGAGCTTCCGGGTAGCCGCAGTGCAGCCCTCAGACAACATCAGCCGGAAACACACGTTTAAGGTCAGTTGGTCTTCCCCTCCCAGGGCAGCTGGGGGAGGGAGGCCTGCTCTTCTACAGCCTATGGGAATGGAGAGGGGCCAAGAGCCGTCACCCTAAGGAATCCCAGGTGGTGATGGTGGTAGCAGTGGTGGTGGGCGGAGGAGGGGGAGTAGTAATGGCCCCTAGACTCAGCACAGTCTCTTGTAAGGCTAGAGCAAGGCTATGCTGGGACCTTCCTCCTCTCTTGGGGGTTGGGTGGGCAATTCTCCCAAGAGTGGGCCAGTAGAGATGTGTTTCAGCAGCACCACAATTGTTACTGGGGCAGGAATAGTTATGTTCTGAGTCCGTGGACCTTTTGCCCAGTGCCTGCCCCTGGGAAATCCCTCTGGGCAGAGGCAGGAGCTGTGGCTGGTGGGTTCTGAGACCTTTTCCGGAAAGGCTTCCTCCCCACCATGGTTTCAGCAAACTGGACCTACCTCCAAGTAAAACTTACTCAAATTTCAGTCTTTAGTGAATATTAGGAGTTGAGTTTCATTCCACAAGAGCTGCACATCTCATGGAGAAACCATTTGAGAGAACAAGTGCACAGGAAAATGGGCCTTTCCTGCCTGCTCAATATCACTGCCTTGAACCCCTGGGGAGCCACCCGTTAAAGATGTGCCTGCAGCTGGCTCGTCCTAGGCCAGTGTTTTTCCACATTTAAAAATTCATGACCCATCAAAACCTATAAAAATCTCATGCCCTTTTGTATTTTGTGATGCAAAAATCATAGGTTCCTTTTCATTTTCCAAATATAAAATTATAATATCAACTACACATTGTCTGGCTACAAAGCCCTCTCTGCCCTAATTGACAGTTGCTGTCCAAGACCCTTCAAAGCTATGATGTTAGATGATGGGACCCGTAGGTCACTCCTTGAGCTTCCAGAGCCTTAGAAGAAGGGACTCTGTCCCTTCCTGTCCTTCAGGCTCCAGTCACCTGGCCACGGAAAAAGGCTGGGCAGCATGCACAGGGCCCGCTACAGGGATCAAGGAAGGACTTATTTGGCACATAATTAGTTTCCAGCCTCCTGGGGTCTTGTATGCCAGAGGTGTGAAGAGAATGAACAATTAATAAAACTCTGACTCCAGGGAGCCAGTTCTAGCTGGGGAAATAGGAACAGGCTGTTTAACCAACAACAAGTAGTCCTGTTATACATAGACACACACACACACCCACACACACAATCAAACAGCCTGTCTCACCCTCCCCACCAGACCTGTGCAGAGACACAGACACGCTCCAGCTCGGAGCTCTGCCAGCAGCAGGCGTGAGATAAACATCCCCGAGTGACTGACACACTCCCCCCACCACAGATCCCAGATATCACCTCTCTGCCCACCAGCTCCTCGCCTCCTTCCCCTTCACTGCACTGCCTCTTTCAAACCTGACTCCGAGGGCTGTGCTCAGTGGTCCACAAAGGGTTCTGATTGTGGCTATTCCACGGCCCTTCCCCAGGGAAGGGAGGGGAGCTGAGACAGATGGGAGGCTTGTCCTGCTGTGGCCACCGAGCAAAGCTCTTGGATGGTTAAGAATGAGCCAGGAACTGTTCCTGCCCAGGCTACCACTGAATGCCTTAACTTCTTCCTAATTCGGCCCCACAGAGGCTTCAAGAGCTTTGCCCTGCTGGGACAGCTCCCTCAATTCTCTGGCCCCCTTTCAGAGTTCCAGGCCAGCACCCCTGCCCACTCCCCATCAATGGCCCTGCCTTTTCCCAGGCCCTCTGCCTTCCCCTGTCACAGCACTTGTCCTTGTGCCTCTGCTCTCTCCTTGTTTCCCGTGGCATGTTTTGTCCCCCAGCGTGACTGTCAGCTCTTCAAGTGCAAGAGCCTGTCTTTGCCTTCCTTGTGACTGGTGCCCCCACCAAGTTCTGCACACACAGGCTGCTCCCTGGATGCTCATTGAATTGATGAATTCATTTGCTGCCCACTCCCACCCACCCCAGGACACACCCACGAACCCTGCCTGTGTGTCTCCTCTCTACAATAACCCTGTGTTCTCCACCCAGAGGACTTGCTTGGGCCTCTGGTCTCTCTACCCCCGATCCGTCGCAAGTTTCAGCTGCCCTCTTGAGGCTTCACTGGCTTTTTGTCAACACCTCCCCTGCCCTCTCCCACACCTGCCCCAAGCTCTGCCCACATGCTAAGTCCTCTGCTGGAGGTTGGGGACCAGAGGAAGGAGGCCCACCCTTGCCTCTTGCTGGGTAATTGTTCCTGTCAGAAAGAAATTGAGGGCTGGGGACAGGTGGAGGCGAGGTGGGACCAGCTGCAACTGAGGAACCTTTTGAGCATTTAGAGGGTATGGTTTTGACATCACTGCTCAGGGGAGCCCTGAGGCTATCTCGACCCCCAGAGACCCAGGATTTAGGGCTCAAGGGGTCAGAGGCTGGAGTAAGGCTCACATCCGAGACTCTGAATCACTGCTAGATGTCCCCTGTTGAGTGGGCTAAGTCAAGCTACTGAGGATCTCACTGGGAAGTATGCTGAGGTCCCAGAAAGAATTTAGTCCTGTGGCCTCTTTTCCTTGTGGCCTAAGAACTTTGAATTTCACCAGGCAGACCCTTTTCCCATGAAATAGATGCATCAGTGAAGGCCAGAGCAAAACCACAATTTGTCTGCAGTTACAGAGCTGGTCAGGAGCAGAGCCAGGCTTAGCGCTGCGATTCCCTGACTCACTCTCCACCACCAGCCTGAATTTCCCTGGTGCAAGCTCTCCACTCCCTAACCCTTGGTAGGCAGAACTGGGCATTGCTGGGTGCTGCCATTCCCAGGGGAGACACAGAGTAGAAGGGGACAATCTGAATATCCCCCCTTCCCTGTGCTCCTCACCATTTCCTGTCACGTCGTCTTCTGTCTCTCCCTCTGGTGTTTGGTTGACCTGTTCTCTGCTTCTCCTCCTTCTGACCGCGTGAGGACCCCTCCTCTGGACAGGAGCTCTCTTCTGGGTTCCCGCCCGCAGTACCTGCTCACAGCCGCCAACTAGGTAGTGTGCCCCGTCTGTATGCCAGTGTCTGCTTTGCATGCCCACAGAGAGGGGCCTGGCTGTCTCTCCACGTGAAGAGACAGTGCTAGCTTCTCAGCAGTGAAAAGCTGGGGCTAAGATTGGCATGTGCTCAGGGGTCCTCTCCCCAGACACGGGGTCATTGCCTTTGAAATCAAACATGGAATTTGCCGGGGAAGTGGGTGTGATCATTGTCCCTCCTGCTTTAATTACCCCAGGTGGGGCAAGTAGGCTGACCTGGTTATTGGGCTGCCTAATGGTGCCCAGAGAGCCAGCCAAGGTGGATACCTGGGTACCAGCTGGAGCCCTCGGGGTAGCTGCAAGCTGCCCTCCTCACCTTGCTCCTGAGCTCCGCATGGGGAAGAGCCCCAGGTGCAGGGAATGGCCCAACTGACTGCCCATTCTGTGGGTGTTGGTGTCTTCTCCCAACAGGTGACTGTGTGCTGGGTGGATGAGGCCGAGGCCAGCTCCACGCACTGCCTCTCCCCACAGGCCGAGCATGCCGGGGTCCGCACCTACTTCTTCAGTGCTGAGAGCCCTGAGGAGCAAGAGGCCTGGATCCAGGCCATGGGGGAGGCTGCTCGAGTACAGATCCCTCCAGCCCAGAAGTCAGTGCCCCAAGCTGTGCGGCACAGGTGAGTGCCAGGGAATTGAATGTGGGGATGCAGGAAGAATTAAGAGGGGAATGGAAGACACACCCAACTCTGGGTCATTGCTAATCCCAGGGTGCCTCCTTGAAGCCCTGGAGGATGTGTGAGCCGACTCCTTGCATCCAGGCAGGAGGCCTGGCTGAGTGATTTCAGAGCCTGAAGTCTCTCTTCCCCTAGCCAGCTCCCCCTCTACTCTCTGAGCTGGGGGAGGCCAAGAGAAAAGCCAGGTTCCATTGGGGCCTGGCCAGGAGCCAGAGGTCAGTGTCATTTGCTGGTTTTTCTCAGCTGTGTGTGTTAAGCACACCGCTTTTGGAGGAAAATAAACTCAGGTTTGAATCACACCTTGTCCACTTGACTGCAGCGTGACCTCAGTGCAAGGGACTCACCCTCTCTGAACCCGAGGTTCCTCTGCTCAAAAACCAGCAAACATAACTCTATCTCAGGGTTGTCGTGAGGCTTACACAGAGTGCATGTAAAACACTCGACATGCAGTAAACTCTTAGCATATGGCCGCTCCCATCGCCCGCCGTCACCCACGGTCTCAGCGTCTGTCTCTCCCTTAGCTGCGTGTGGAGTCTTGAGTTAGGTGCTAAGGGGGATCCAGGAGAAGGGGGTTTCACAGTGTAGACTCCAAGTCCATTCACATATCTTAGAAGTGTTTACCAAGCAATGTTTCAACAAGGATGCTTGAATGTGTGGAGTTTGGGAAGCTGTAGGGGGAAAATTGTCACAAATTTCCATCTTTGCTTCAACCAAGGGGCTTACTTCCAAGAGTTCATTCATTCATTCATTTCACAAATACTTACTGTAAATATAAATAGTGTAAGGCACTGTAGTGGGTGCTAGGAACACAGGGGAAGAAAGTCTACCACGTTCCTACCCTTGTGGGGCCTGTATTCTGATGGAAAGTCAGACCTGGAAGAAATGTGTTTTGGAGAAGGGAACTAGCGTGTTTATGTGCTTGTGAGTTTCAAAGCAGAAACTTCTGCTCCTGAGGCCCGCCATGTTTATCTCACAGCAGTCCTAGGAGGGGAGATATTATTATACCCATTCTGCTGATGAGGAGCCCAAGACTCTTGGCAGTTAAGTAACTTTCTATAGGAAAGACAAGTGCCCCATCACAAGCCTTTGTCACTGGAGTATCAAGGACAGTTACTGATAAGAGTGCAAACCCAGTTTGGGGAGCTGGGTCAGGGACAGATTGCAGAGAGGACCAAGACTAGGTGAGGTGAGTCATGACATAGCTTGAAGACTGGGCTCAAAGTAGACTGGCAGAGGGGAGTGGGGTGGAGAATGACCTGCAGAGAAGATGTTGGGGGCAGAGTTAACACAGCAGATGTGGGTAGGGGCAGATTAGGTTGTATAATAATTTCCCAGGCTGGATTGAGAAGATGAAGCAGTGAGACTTAAAAGGCAGAACAGGAATTCATAGAATCCTGGTTCCATTGCCACCTCCCTGCCCATCTTTCCCCACTCCTCTTCTCCTTCCCAGTCTGGTACCCCCTGCCCCACTCCATGCTGGGCTAAAGTCACTGACAGCATCTCCTTTGGCATCCAGCAGCCATGAGAAGCCAGACTCGGAGAACATCCCACCCAGCAAGCACCACCAGCAGCCGCCCCACAACAGCCTCCCCAAGCCTGAGCCAGAGGCCAAGACTCGAGGGGAGGGTGATGGCCGAGGCTGTGAAAAGGCAGAGAGAAGGCCGGAGAGGCCAGAAGTCAAGAAAGAGCCTCTGGTGAAAACCAACGGCCTCCCAGCTGGACCGGAGCCAGCCTCAGAGCCGGGCAGCCCTTACCCCGAGGGCCCAAGGGTGCCAGGGGGTGGGGAACAACCTGCCCAGCCCAATGGCTGGCAGTACCACTCCCCAAGCCGGCCAGGGAGCACAGCTTTCCCGCCTCAGGACGGAGAGACTGGGGGACACCGGCGGAGCTTCCCGCCACGCACCAACCCTGACAAAATTGCCCAGCGCAAGAGCTCCATGAACCAGCTTCAGCAGTGGGTGAACCTGCGCCGGGGGGTACCCCCGCCTGAAGACCTTCGGAGGTGAGGCATGCCAGTGGCTGGGGTGGGGCTGATATGGTGTTACGGCTAGAACATGGGAGTGGGGTCATAGCCCATGAGGCATCCCCTGTTGGAAACCTTCTGGAAGCAGGCTGAATTGGGAAACCAAATCCCATGCTTCTGGCTTGCCCGAATCCTTCCTGCTCCATGGCTCCACCATTAGAGTCTGGCTGCTGTCCCTGATTCTTGGTTTCTCTGTCTGCTTCCTTCAGAAGAAGGGACAGAGTGCCCCAGTGCCTCTCCACGGCATGCTGGGAAGCCCAGAACACAGCAGGCTTTGGGAGGGGGCCTGAAGTTGTTACAGTCAGACATCCATCCAAGCTATGGGCCCTCCTACAACATCCTCTCCTCCAGTGCTCCACCCACTTGAGACTCACTAACTGCCAGACCAACCCACTCCATTTTTGAACAGCTCTAATTGTTTTAAAGCCATGATTTATATGAAGTTAAAAAACAAAACCAAGTAGCTCATTGGTCCCAACACAGCCCTCTATGACCATTTACTCCTTTATCCAACGACTGGCTTTGAAATTTCTGGGGACATTTATTGGGCCCAGTGGTGTCCCTCAGGGCAAATGGGGCTGCAGGCTCCTTCCCTGGGGATTTGGGCAGCTCCAGGGACTGCAGGCCACAGCTTCAGGAAGGCCATGGGGCCCGGGAGGAACCTGCCCTCTAGTGGCCTGAGCAGCTGCGCATTGCTGGTGGTCTTGTGCCTGGGAGTATCAGGCCTGCTCTGGGGAGAATCATTTGGGATGAGTCCCAAGAGCCTACTGGTTCAGTCCCTGACAAGATCATACAATCAGAAAGCAGGGCATGGTGGCTCACACCTGTGGTCCCAGCTACTACTCTATAGGTGGACATGGGAGGATTGCTTGAGCCCAGGAGTTCAAGGCTGCAGTGAGCCGTGATGGCCCCACTACACTCCAGGCTGGTGACAGAATGGACCTCATCTGTAAAATAATATAAAATAGATCAGGACGCTGCCCTTTCATCCCTTCTGTGTTGCCCTCCTTCAGGTGCCTGGTAGACTTTCTTCTATTTGCCTCTCTCAGAAAAGATCTGATAAACTGGTTCATGCTGAGATGGAGATGGCTGATAAGGCTTCACGTTTCTTCCTAGGGATATGTCATTTTAAAGAGACAAAGATTGAAGCTCTGAATGGTGCAGTGTCCAGCCTTGGGGAGCTGGTTGAGGAAGGGGGCTGTGAGGACAGGAGTCTTTCCGTCACCTCTGGAATAAACTTCAGCCCCTGTGTACCTATTCAAGCACCTTGCTCTAGGCTGGGGGACCTGGAGGTGGGGCTGGGGTGGGTGGAGGGGTGCCCGTGTTGTCTGCTTTCCTTACAATATCCCCTCTCTCTCAGTCCCTCTAGATTCTACCCTGTGTCTCGCAGGGTCCCTGAGTACTACGGCCCCTACTCCTCCCAGTACCCTGATGATTACCAGTACTACCCGCCAGGGGTGCGGCCAGAGAGCATCTGCTCCATGCCGGCCTATGATCGGATCAGCCCGCCCTGGGCCCTGGAGGACAAGCGCCATGCCTTCCGCAACGGGGGCGGCCCTGCCTACCAGCTACGAGAGTGGAAGGAGCCCGCCAGCTACGGGCGGCAGGATGGCACCGTCTGGATCCCAAGCCCCTCCCGGCAGCCAGTCTATTATGATGAGCTGGATGCTGCCTCTAGCTCCATGCGCCGCCTGTCCCTGCAGCCCCGCTCCCACTCTGTGCCCCGCTCACCCAGCCAGGGTTCCTACAGCCGTGCCCGCATTTACTCCCCTGTCCGCTCACCCAGTGCCCGTTTTGAGCGACTGCCACCTCGCAGCGAGGACATCTATGCTGACCCTGCTGCCTATGTGATGAGGCGATCCATCAGCTCCCCCAAGGTGAGCCACCAGCCTAGAGTTCCTTCCTCATTCCCTGAGATCCCCAGAAGCCTAAGACAATCTACTGGGAAAAGGCAGAGATGTGGGAGCATCTGGGCCACGGGGCCACTGGGCTGTGTGTCCATAGGACCAGCAGTGTTGCCCAGGGAAGCCCCTGGCCTGTGGTTCTGTCTGTAGTAGAGCTGTCTTGGGGATGGCTTTGCCTCTTGAGTGGGAGCATTGCTTTCTGTACATGCCCCCAGGTTGTGCCAGAAACCGTGCCGTCATGTGAGAGGGCAGAGAGGCTTCTGTCTTTTCAAATCTTGAGGACCTAGACAGATCATTGCATGGGGCGCTGCTGTCCATTTCAGTTTGGGATCTGCTCTGGGACTGAACACAAACACCTCTAACCTTGAGCTTCAGCTGGTGGGGAACTCTGTGTCCCAGCCAGACCCCTCACCTCTGTGATCCCTTTCTCTTCCAGTATGATTACCTGGGAGACAGGCGGCCAGTCCCTGCAGGACTGTTCCCCTACAACTACCCACCATCCCCCACGGTCCACGATAAGATGGTACGTCCTTTCTCCCCTCCACCTGCCTCAGGGCCTCCCCGCACCGTGCTCCACCCAGGGTGGAGCTAAACTGGGGCGGACTCCAGGGACGCTCTGTGCCTAGTGCCTGACCTGGCTGGTTTTTAGCAGCCTCTGGATACTTCCTCCCTCCCAGTCAGGACTCTAGCCCCAGTATCAAGTTTGGTGCCAGTAACCCCTTCTCCTCTGTGACACAGGCCGTGGAGGAGGGATGAGATCTGGGAGCATGTAATATCCTGGTCCCCCTCCTCTCCAGCATGCAGGAGAAGAGGCCTAGGCAGGAAAAATCAGGCCAGAGCTCCTAACAAGAAGCAAGGTTTTCTAAACTTTTTTCCCCTGAAGCATAGTTATTTAACGTTTGTCCTTTGTCTGGAATGCCACTTTTGGGGAGAGATACAAGCAATATGATTGAGGAAGAAAAAATTTTCTGAATTGCATCTCCTCCTTTTTCTCTGCCTCTTTCTACTCGTGTCTCTCCCTGGAATTTGTTCTCCTGAGAACTTCTGCCATCACCTAGAGACCTAGATGAGATGCTCCGCTTGGGAGGGTTGGGGAGGACCACTGGGACCAACAGGCAGAATCCTTGTCCAGAAAGCCTGTTGCTGACTCGTTTCCATAACAGTACCAGGAGGCCAGGGTGGAGGAGGGCTGGGCAGGCTGGAGGCTAGGCGGCGGCTCCTTCCCCTCTCTGTCTGATTCTCACTCTGCCAGTGTCCACAGCGTATAAGCCTTACCCACAGCAAACATACACACCCAGAAACAACTGATTTTTCCAGAAAACTCAGAAACAGCTGCTAACAAGTGCTGCCTAAACTGCTCTGATGACACTCACCTCTCCCAGGGAGGCCTAGGCAGACCTAGGAGAGATGGCAGTGGGGCCTGCGTGTGCCCCTCCTCTCCCTGGAGTGTCCAGTAGAGAACTACTTTGCCTGCCCACATCCTCAACCCCTCCCTTCCTGAGAACTCCCCAAGGGCAGAGGGAGAAGCCTCTCCATGTCCTTGTCGCTAACTCTTAACTGCTTTGCTTCTTTTTTTATTGTTTTCTTTTGTGTGTTCCTGTTTGTTTGTGTTGCTGTTTGGCCTCTGGGCCTCGGGCTCCGGGTAGGATGAACTTTTAGATCTTCAGTTGCAAAGAAACCTAGAGTATTTGGATCAGCAGGTAGGCAGAGCTGGTGCCCCCTACCATCCCACTGCCTTCCTGTCGCATCTCTCCACTCCTCCCCACCTCCTCATCTTCCAGCCATTTGACAACCTTTGTTGGTGCAAGCAGGACACAACAAAGTGGCTTATGTTTTGGTTTGCGCCTACACACCCCTTCTCTTCAAAGCCCTTTAGGACAGCTGGGAGTTTCCTGGGGAAAGAAGCATAATAAGTAGGCGCATGAATAATTAATGCCACCTCTTATTTCTCCAGTGCTCTGCTCGGATGGAACGGCCCCCAGGGGGCAGGTGGGAATTTGCATTTTTGCTGGCGAGAGGAGAGAGTCGCAGAGTCCAGGGAGCTCTAGGCTGGGCCTAAAATGCTAGGGATTTAGTTCTGCCTGAATCTGGGAAATCATCGTATCATATTTTACAGGTTGTTGTTAAACTCCATAATTGGTAAACTGAGGCCTACAGACCCTCCCCAGGATGATTTTTAAAGTAATATTCGCTCAGTGTATTCGTTAGTTCCTCCAAAAGCTCTTTTGCATACACAGCTTGTGCATTCCTAAGAATTCAGTGCAAACAGAGGGAGTATTATCAACCCAGTCTTACAGGTGAGCAAGCTGAAGAGGCAGTGAGTGTTCCACGAGCTGCAAGCAGTTGGCTGCCTGGTGTCTACTTCAGGGCTCTAACCCTTTCTTGTGTTTTAAGCTAAGGGAGCTGTGAGGCTGAGTTTAGACAGGCTGGGGGTTGATATGCTGGGTATCTATATAAGCACATACTCTTAAGTTCAGATCTGTGCTACAAACCAAGACCTAGAAGTACACACTGTCCTGTGGAGGCAGCCTGGGGAGTGGAAAGACTACTACTACTACTAACAACAGCTGCAATAATTGGATGCCTGCTCCGTGCCCCATACTATTCTAAGCATTTTTCAGATCTCTAACTCATTTAATCTTCATTACAACCCTGTAAAGTGGATGCTGTTATTACCCCCATTTTACAGGCGAGGAAACTAAAGCACAGAGAGGTTGAATAACGTGCCAAGAACACACAGCCAGTGAACAGCTGAGCTTGGAATGTGACTCCAAGCTTTTGACCCAGTTTACAGCTGAGGAAACGTCTAATGTGTGACAAAGCTGCCGTCAAACCTCATTAGGATGAGTTCATGCTCTTAAAGTTACAGAAAAAAACCCATAAATTTGAAATCAGATGCTATAGCTGCAACTGTTGGTTCTTCTAGTCACAAGCCGTGTGTGTGACCCATCTCACAGGGGCTTCATGCCGATGTCTCAATTCGATTTTGTAATAGGCCTCAGGCACTAGGAAGCAGCAATGTCCACAGTTCAATAAGCAGGGATGGCTCCTGGCCCTGGAGGCCATTGCATTCCAGCTCCGAAAGCAGCTTATTGTGTCACACCATGAGCATTCTGGGCCATGTGGGAACAGATCCCAGGATTCCAACTCGGAGCAGGGACGGGAGGCCCAGGATCCTGCTGATGGGAAGCAAGATCCGAAGTGCCTTGCAGGGGTGAGGAGTGGGGCTCAGGGCCCATCCGCCTCCAGTTTCCTGAGCAAGCTGCCCTCCCTGTCGCCCATGTGATTGGCTTTCTACTCCATCCACAATGCCCTGTTGTCATAGCATTCAGTGCAGACAGCAGGGTCCCTTCTTGGGGGCTTTTGCTTTCACAGAGGGGCTGGCCCATTAGGCTGGGGGCTTCAGAAATAGCCTTCCAGAGGACTCCCTCATGGATAAATGGTATTATTCTCTTTTTTTTTTTTTTTTTTTGAGATAGGATCTCACTCTGTTGCCTAGGCTAGAGTATAGTGGCATAATCATAGCTCACTGCAATCTCCACCTCCCAGGCTCAAGCGATCCTCCCACCTCAGCCTCGTGAGCAGCTAGGACTATAGACAGGTGTGCAGCCACCACACCTGGCTAACTGAAAAAAATTTTTTTTGTAGAGATGGGTGCCCCACTGTGTTGGCCAGGCTGGTCTCAAACTCCCGGCCTCAAGCAGTCCTCTCACCTCTGCCTCTCAAAGTGCTAGGATTATAGGCGTGAGCCTCTGTACCTGGCCAAGGGTAATACTCTCAAAAGGCAGTCTTGTAGATGAGAAGAGTCCAGGACATAGTCAGACACTGCTGCTCTAGTTCTAGCTCTGCCATTTACAAGGATTTTTTTTTTTTCTTAAATCTTGGAAATGTCACTTAGTCTCTCTGGGTCTTTGTTTTCTCAATCATAAAATGGGCATTGTAGAACCTGCCCTTTCCTTTCAACCTCACAGATGTATTGGGAGAATCAAGTGGGGGTGCATATGGGAGCTCTTTGTCAGGCATCGGCAAGGAGTGACAATCACCACTTGCTGCTATGATTATTTTGTTTTTCCCAGACACAAAAATATCAACGAGCACTCCTTACCATGTGTGAGGCACTGGGTTAGGTGGTTTCTTACAAAATCTAACATTTTGGAGAGACAGAAGGTAGCACACAAGAATCCTCCTAGAGGTAAGACCCACCTGGGCTGAAAGATCCCCAAAGCTGCAGCACAGGCGGGAGCAGGCCAGGATGAAAACACTCCTGCTCACTTCCTCTACTGCTCTAGATCCGCTTGTTGGGGAAGGAATGAGATACACACAGTTTACTGTGCAGGGATGGCTCCCAGCCCTCAAGGCCCTTGCATTCCAGGGCTAAACAGGAAAAATCCATTCCTAGGAAAACCTTTTGAAATGCCGCAGACCCTGCAAATGGGGTGGTCGGTGCCCTTGCCCTGCCTACAACATGTAGAAGCAAGGCTGTATTTGGGCAGCTGCCTAAAAGGGGTAAGAGGAAGAAAGGACAGTGTGGGTGCAACTGAGATTGGAGAGATGATGGAAAAATCACAGGGGACCCTCTGAACAGGAACCCCAGATAATCTTCCCTAATGTGTGTCTTTCCTCCTTTCCTCATTCACTTTCCCTTCCAGAAAGCTTTCCCTGCACGCTCCCTTCTGTCTTCTTCTGCCTTCCCCTGTAGAACCATGGAGTTAAAGGGACACAGCCAAGGACATTCCCTGATATCTTCACTTTTTGGTCCTTTCCCATTGGAACCAGTGGGGGAAATGATGGCATTTCTGGTTGATTTGTTGGCCCGCCCTTTCTCCCACCCCTCCTTTCCCTTCCTCTTCCTCCTCATCCCCTCCCTTCTTCCATTTCTCTCTTTTTAAATTGGCAAATAGTCTTTCCACCCCCATGTTCCTAAGGATTCTTGAAATAGAAAGAATGTGTTGAAGAGCCTGGTGTCCCTTTAACGTGGCTCGCTTGTTTTGGCCTCCTTGTTTGCTCCCTAGCATCATCTAAGATCCTCAAGGATGCTGCCAGCCCAGCTCTGGAAACCATGTTTAGCACTTTCTGTACTAGAGCCGAGGGTGGGCAGGGGCAGGGGCAGGGGCAGGGAGAGGAGCCAGGCCTCGGTATCCGTGGCGGCCCCTCCAAAGACCAGGTCCTAGATTTTCTTTTTTGGTTGTTTCACTTAGTTCAACTTTGGGGAGATCTGTCTTCCAATTGCCTCTATGGTCTTTGTCCAAAGTTGTGTGAGAAATGAGATCAGGGCAGGGAGATGACAACCGTGGCCAATGCGGATGGGATCCATAACAACCAGGCACCCTGGGGAAGAATCACCAGGCCGGGGCCTCTGCAGTGCCTCCGGCAAGGTCCCAGTGGCCCCTCGGACCCTTCCGTGGCCTTTCTGCAAGGACAGCTTCAGTGCTGGTCCTGAAACAGAGGTCATAAGGGGTGAGCAAGCTCAGGATGCTGGGGGAGCTGCCCTCCCCTGTTTCCTGGGAAACAAGCACAGGTGGGTGAGGGGGAGATACCTACATGTGGATCGGAGTGTGAATAGTCCGTTCCTTCCTCCGCTGCAGATGAGTGAGAGTGAGACTCTCATCAGTATGGTGAACCGCATGGTGGAAAACTCCTCCCCCAGGTCCCAACTCTTCATGCAAGTAAGACCTCTGCCTGGCAGCATGGTCCCTGCCAATGCCATTTCAGCTGCTTGTGCATGGTCGAGTTGCCCATCTAGAATGAGGCTCACGCCACCCGACCCGCTCATCTGCCTGGAGACAGGCTTGGCCTGGTCTTCTTTCCTTAATTCCACTATGTCACCTCCATTCTTCACTTTCATGGGTAAACTCAAGGCCCATTTCCCAAACCATCAAAAGAGCCAGCACCAACATCTCATGCCATGCTGGGGATCGCAACTCTGCTCTTCAATGTTCTGATTTCGATTTCGTATTTGTAATATATTGACAGACGTCACTGGGGTTAAAGGCATGAAGGGTGTAATGGAACCATCTAATGTCAAAAGTGTATAGAATGTGCTGTGGTCACCAGATGTGGTGTCCAGGCCAGGCAGCATTTGCTGGACCCAGAGACACTTCTGAATTCTTGACAATTTTGGTTTAGACACAAGCCCTGTGACTGGTGTTCAGTCTACTAGGGCAATAGTTTTCAACTGTTCCCAATGCTCATTCTGACAATTCTCCCATGTCTTATCCCCACAGACAGCCACGGAGTTCACTGATGTTCTCATGGTGGTTACCAACAAGCCATTGGGAACTGCACACCCTGCAGTCCCTCTTAGCAGCAGATCCTAGTGCTTGGGGGAGAGGAAATACAGAGCATGACTCAAGCAGAGTTCTGATCTCTCCGGAGTCAGCCTAAGACAACTGGGATGGGGTTAGGCTGGGCCATCCCAGGCTTCCAGCCAGGGGATGAAGAATGAACTCAGGTCCCTGAAACAGAAACCATCAGAGGTGATGGACCACGGTCTCTAGCAGGAGCAGAGCAGGATTGTGATGTCAGCTTCCTATCCCTGCATACCTTCATCCTGCCCCTGCTGCAGTAACCGGCCTCATGTTCCTGCAGGTCCCTCCGTACCCAGAAGTGTTCCGGGACCGCCTCCATACCTACAAGTTAAACGAGCAAGACACAGATGTAAGAGCAGCGCCCCCTGCTCCCTCCCTCCACTCCAGCCTCCCACTGCTGTCCTCTGCAGGGGCTGTCTCTCCATCCATCTCTCTCCTTCTGGTGGCTCTTCGTACCTTTGATTCATGTCTTCTTTCACCACAACAAGATTCTGCCTACCTCCTCCTCATCCCCCTTCTTTTCTGATCTACCACCTACTCACCCTTCCCTCCCATGCTGGCTGTATCCGTTTCTCCACTGAGCGCTCGGCCCTTTTGCCTACAGCAGGGAGATCTGCTTGTAACACGAATGCAGACTTTGTTGGGAGATAGATCAGTCTATTCTGTGCCCAGCATGACATTAGTCCCTACAGGTAACTAGAAAGGAGAATGCGGCTGTGCCCCTGCCCTCAGGGAGCTTCAGGGTAGTGGGAGATGCCAGGTAGCAGCAGGAGGTGGCAACACAGTATTCATGTCGTGAAGGGGAGCCGTAATAGGTTCTGCCAGGTGCAGGGAAGTGAGGCTGTGTGGGCTGAAGGTCAGGGACAAAACAAGTAGCACGTGAGTTAGACCTTGAAGTTAAAAGGCCCAGAGGGTAAAATCTGGCTCAGTAGAAAGGAGCAAAGCAGGTATTTGAGGAATGGCATGAATAAAGGTGTGGACTAGGAAAGCACAAGCCCTCTTTCTGGCCCCAGCTGTCTGCTCCGCATCACCACTGGCCCTGCCCAGTGAGACTGGGAGAGGTTCCTTCCTGAAAGGACTAGACCTCAGAGGGAGGGTCAGCCATCCTGAGACTTTGGAGGCAAGAGGGAAGAACAGGATCTTGAGAGAGAAGGGAGAAGTTTCTGTGGGATTGAGGGACAGTTTCTATTGCTCACTGCTTTTCTAAGACTGCTTGTTCTGACACCCGGCCCGCCTCTTCAGTCCAGCCTAGGAGGTGAGGTCACATCATCTCCTCCATCCTTCGTGAACGGCAACCCTTGGATGGATGGGGGTGCCAGAGCTTAACACTTGGCTCTCAGCCCTCTTAACCCAACTGACTTCCCCAGAGAGTAAGCGTACCTCCCCTCCCAAGAGGAAGACCCATCTTCTTGTTCTCAGGAGCCACCAAGGGCAAGGTGAAGGCCCAGGGTTCCTCAGCAGGAGAAAGGAGAGGGTATCCAGAGGCCAGGCCCTGTAACTCCCAGGTCCCCACCAAACTGTGTCCTTCATCCCCTTCTTTCTGCCTCTCCTTCCCCACTCTCTGGGACCCTAGAAGCTGCTGGGAAAATTGTGTGAGCAGAACAAGGTGGTGAGGGAGCAGGACCGGCTGGTGCAGCAGCTCCGAGCTGAGAAGGTGAGAAGCTGGGGGTGGCTTTAAGCTGGGGCAGATGGGTGAGGCTGGCTTGGAGAAGGTTGTGGGCTGCTGTCTCCATCTGACTAAGATGACAAAGCAAGGACAGCCTCCACTCAACTCCCTGTTGAACCTCTAAGGTCTCAGGCCTCTGCTGTTCAATCCCAGAGAGGAGCTGTCAGGGCTGCTCACGTCATTCCCCTGCCTGTCTTCAGGAGAGCCTGGAAAGTGCCTTGATGGGGACCCATCAGGAGCTGGAGATGTTTGGAAGCCAGCCTGCCTACCCAGAAAAGCTGCGGCACAAAAAGGATTCTCTGCAGAACCAGCTCATCAACATCCGCGTGGAGCTGTCTCAGGCGACCACGGTAACCCAGGGAGCAGGGTTTATGCACCCCACCTGATCAGCACTAGGCAGGAGGGCAACCACCTCCCAGCTTGTGCTGTCCTAGTCCAGTTTTCCTCAGAGGACAAAAGCTGAGTCCTCCCGTGCAGAGGGACATAAACAAAGACCTCAACATTGCCCTGCAAATAAATAGCAAGTCAGCCAGACTGCTCATTCCAGTCTCCACCGAGGAGATGAGCTTATTTCCCACAAGCTGTACCTGTACCTGGATTTCTTTGGGACAGCATGAAGTTGTGAGTTACTTATTTCCTTGGCTGTGCTAACACCTCTGCTGCCCACTTCTGTCTTCTCCCTCGGAGAAGCAAAGCACTGGCAAAAAAGCTGCTGCCAGCTGGCCGTGGTGGCTCACGCCTGTAATCCCAGCACTTTGGGAGGCTGAGGCGGGCGGATCACCTGAGGTTGGGAGTTTGAGACCAGCCTGACTAACATGAAGAAACCCCATCTCTCCTGAAAATACAAAATTAGCTGGCCATGGTGGCACATGCCTGTAGTCCCAGATACTCAGGAGGCTGAGGCAGGAGAATCGCTTGAGCCCACAAGGCGGAGGTTGCTGTGAGCCAAGATGGTACCATTGCACTCCAGCCTGGGCAACAAGAGTGAAACTCCAGCTAAAGAAAAAAAAAAAAGGCTGCTGCCTTGGTCACTACTTCCCAGCAGGTACAGGCAGACCTTCCGGCACGGACTGCTTGGAGAATGGCTCCAAGAAGCAGCAGCTAAAGCCCCGTGAAAGTGTGGCTCAGAAAGGAGGGAGCTCGCTAACCTCCGGATAACAAATATCCTCCTTCAGGCTCTTTTCTCTTTGCCCTCCACTTAAAAAAAATTTTTTTTTAAAGGACAGGGTTTCGCTCTGTCGCCCAGGCTGGAGTGCAGTGGTGCAAACACAGCTCACTGCAGTCTCCATCTCCAGGGCTCAAGTGATCCTCCTGCCTCAGCCCCCAAATCTCCAGGACTACAGGGGCACACCACCATGCCCAGCTACCTTTTGTAATTTGTAGAGATGGGGTCTTGTCATTTTCCCCAGGCTATGCCCTCTAGTTTTTATCCCCTAATCTGGGGAGAATAGGAGGGTATGGAAGTGATATCATCCCTCTCTATTTTCTCTTTATTTCAGTTGGTGGTGGGATGGGCTGTTACATCTCTTGTAAGGCTAGTGTTTGGCTGTCACCAGAATGTCTCAGCCTGGTGCCCCTCTCCTTTGGTCCCTCCAGGCCCTCTTCCCCAGATCTTCGGGCCTCTAGTACCCTGGCCCCAGGGCCCGTTTCAGGATAAGGAGGAATGCCTTGGTGATGGTGGCCTTCTCAGTGAACACCTCTTCCCCCTACAGGCCCTGACGAACAGCACCATAGAGTATGAGCACCTCGAGTCTGAGGTCTCTGCCCTGCACGATGACCTCTGGGAGCAGCTCAATTTGGACACCCAGGTGAAGAAGGGCCCCTGAGCTGGCAGGGATTGGGATGTGACTAAAGATGAGGAGTTGGCCTTGAGACAAAAGCAAAGGTTTAGGTCATTGATAACAGACTCTAAGTTTCAGGATGAAGATAATGGGACACTTTAGGTTCAGCTCACAGGGCAAGGAGCTAAAGCTGAAGCTTGGGAGACTTCAGTTAGACACAAGGTGCTTTATGATTGAAAGGATTTCTTTTTCTCTTGGGATAGGGTCTTGCTCTGTTGCCCAGGTTGGAGTGCAGTGGCGCAATCACAGCTCACTGCAGCCTTGACTGCCCCGGGCTCAAGCAATCCTCCCACCTCAGCCTCCTGAGTAGCTAGGACTACAGTCGTGAACCACCATGCCCGGCTAGTTTTTTTTATTTTTTATAGAGACAGGGTCTCCCTATGTTGACCAGGCTGGTCTCTAACTCCTGAGCTCAAGTGGTCCTCCCGCCTCAGCCTCCCAAAGTGCTGGGGATTACAGGCATGAGCCACTGTGCCCAGCAAGATTTAAAAACAGACATGTAAATATAAATAACTCAGGCATTGGAAGAGTGGGCGGTAGGAATTTTTAGATAGGAAAGAGGCTTTTCTTCCTGGGATGGGTTAGAAACAGTCTGCCCGGAGGCAGGAGGATTGACCTGATGATCTTGAGGAGTTCTTGTTCTTTTCTTCCCTCTACCTTTTCTTCACCCAGGCCCTGCCTCTTCTCTAGCTAGTTTGCAAGCCCTGTCTCTCTGATGCAGTTAACAACTAGTTTCCCCCATTTTCTTCTGTTTCCCTCCTGGTAATGCCACTCACCACCCTTACCTTGCAGCTGGTTAGGTAGGATGAAGACCCATCTGGTCCAGAGGACCCAAATACCACGATGTCCCATGGCCAAGCCTTACTTGAAGCACAGACATTTTAGGAGGCGGATAGTGTTGTGGTCAAGGGCACTAACCTTCGAGTCCAAATAGACCCATATTTAGATGATGGTCATGCTGCTTACTAAATAGATGGCCTTGAGTGTGAGTCTCTTCATCTCTGAAGAGGGGACAGCTGCTGCCCTTATCTCCTAGAGTCGTGCAGCCGAAATGAGTTAGCACTGTATATGCAAAGTGCTTGGCATAGTGCCTGGTGCTGAGGGATGCTAAATAAATGGGAGGTCTTACCTTTTTGAGTGTCAACTGTAATTGAATTCATGACTCCTCAGGCGTACGCTGGGAGTGGGTGTTAGAAAAGGGCTGTTTGGATGTGAAGAAAAGCAGTAAAATGGAAGCTCTTGCCCCACGAAAACCAGGATACCATAAAGTGTTCACTTAGATGGGCGTTCACTCACAAACCAGCCACGCTTCCCCTGGGGGAACTCAGAAGGGTGCGTCCTCAGTCTTGGTTCAGAGACTCAGGCAATTCTGGGGTGCCATCTCCCAGAGGCTGAAGACAGAGGCAGCCCATGGGAAAGATGACTGCTGGAGGGGGCGTGTGTGTGTGTGTGTGTGTGTGTGTGTGTGTGTGTGTGTGTTTGTGTACAGGGTGCCTGCCTCCTGCTGGCCCAAAGGGATGTGGGTTCCGAGGGGTCTGGGCTGAGGGAAACTCCTCGTGACCATTTCCTTTGATTCACTGTGTGGCTGCTTCAGAATGAGGTGCTGAACCGGCAAATCCAAAAGGAGATCTGGAGGATCCAGGACGTGATGGAGGGGCTGAGGAAGAACAACCCCTCCCGGGGCACGGACACTGCCAAGCACAGAGGTGGGTGCCTCCTGTGCCAGCCTCCTAGGCTGCCTGCCTCACCAGGAGTGCTCTGGTATTTCTGGCCTCCATCCCACTCCTGCCAGCTCACACTGTGTTCAGGGCCAGGCAGGGCCTTCTTGGGACGTCAGAATCTTCCCCTGGGTTCTAGGGTGGTAGGTAGGGCTCCCTTACCCCTGACAGAATAGACTAAGTAGACAACTCAGAGACACTGTTGACCCTGACACTCTAAAGTCCTCCCCAAAAAAGGTCAAAAGCACCTAAGCCTCCCCAACCCCCAAGCACATGGGCCCACTCGTGACCTGTGACCCCTACCTTAGAGTTTTCCTTGAGCCCTGGGACCTCAGACTGGCTTTCCTTGACACCTCAGGGACAACAGTATCATTTCCATCTACCATCTTCCCCACCCAGCACACCTCTCAACAGTCAGCCTGTGGCCCCAGAACCTGTAATGAGTCCCTTTGGCAGGCCCAGGTGGCCCTGAGACACTAAGTCTGCCCTCCCACATCCCTGGATCTGGCTTCTCCCTGCCACCTCCACTCACAGTGCCCATCTATCTACCCACCAGGCAGCACCCCTCCTCCATTGCTCACCCATCCCCTTCTGTTTCTCCCAAGGAGGACTTGGCCCCTCAGCCACCTACAGCTCCAACAGCCCGGCCAGCCCCCTCAGCTCCGCCAGCCTCACCAGCCCCCTGAGCCCCTTTTCACTGGTGTCGGGCTCTCAGGGGTCCCCCACCAAGCCTGGCTCCAACGAGGTAAGTTGAGAAATGCAGTAGAAGGTAGGTGGGGGAGGGAGGACCAGATCCTCATTTGTCTGAAATTATACAACTTCTGTGCCCATCTCTTCCCCACAGGCCTCCAGCCCTAGTGCTGGAGCTCTTTGTTTAAGGAGGTCATTCTCACACCCCATTTTGTGAACTTCTCTCCAGGTTTCCCCTTTACCTGTTCTCATCTCCATCTGTCATCTTTAGCTCCCTTTCAGTGAAGCCTGTTCCTGGGCACCAGGATGGATAGGAGACAGCACAAGGTTGGATAGGAGACCGCACACATTTCATAAGAATTTAAATCCAGAATGATGCCAGGATAGCAACAGAGTGAAGGGTCAGTGTGGGGAGCAGTTTCCTAGTCAGTCAATCAGCAAGTGTTTTCTGGGGCTCAACCGTGGGCATGGGGTGCCATGAGGCCCTTTTAGAAAGATATACACATGGCCGGGCATGGTGGCTCATGCCTGTAATCCCAGCATTTTGGGAGGCCAAGGCGGTGGATCACAAGGTCAGCAGATAGAGACCATCCTGGCCAACATGGTGAAACCCTATCTCTACTGGAAAAAAACAAAAAAACAAAAAATACAAAAATTAGCTGAGCGTGGTGGTGCACGCCTGTAGTCCCAGCTACTCAGGAGGCTGAGGCAGCAGAATTGCTTGAACCCAGGAGGCAGAGGTTTCAGTGAGCCAAGATCGCACCACTGCACTTTAGCCTGGTGACAGAGTGAGACTCTGTCTCAAAAAATAATAATAAAAAATAAAAGAAAGAGGCTGGGTATGGTGGCTCATGCCTGTAATCCCAGCACTTTTGGAGGCCAAGGCAGGCAGATCACGAGATCAGGAAATCAAGACCATCCTGGCTAACATGGTGAAACCCCATCTCTGCTAAAAAATACAAAAATTAGCCGGGCATGGTGGTGGGCACCTGTAGTCCCAGCTACTTGGGAGGCTGAGGCAGGAGAATGGCATGAACCTGGGAGGCAGAGCTTGCAGTGAGCCGAGATCGCACCACTGCACTTCAGCCTGGGTGACAGAGCCAGACTCCATCTCAAAATAATAATAATAATAATAATAATAATAATAATAAAAGTAATAAATAAAAAGAAAAGAAAAATAAAAGATGCGCACATGTGCTCAAAGGCTTCACTCAGGGAGCCCAGCATCCTATGAACCAAGACAAATTCATAGGAACGTGACGGCGTATGTCTCAACATTAAGCCACATGGTTCAGACTATAAATGCCCTGATGTTCCAACAGATAATTGGACCTAAACCAGGCCACAGAGCAGCAAGACAGGGAGAGGAACAAGGGAAAGGCATTCTAGGCAGGAGAGTGGGTGGAAGCAAAGGGGTGGGAGAGGAGCTGCCTGGCATGGGGGCGAGGCAATGAGAGAGCTTTGGGGAAAACTTGGGGAGCAGTGGGGAGTGGTGGACAGGTAGAGGCTGGGTCGAGGAAGGCGTTGAAGGTCAGGCAGAGAGTTAGCTCCGGAGCTGGCACTCTCTTCAGGCCACGGGTGGGAGTGCAGTGGTCCCAGGGGCCCGCCCAGGTCTCCAGCAATGTTGTTGTCTGCCTCCTGCTAATGCTCTTTTCTCCTGCTCTCACAGTGGCTGCTCTTGTTCCTCCTAATGCTCTGGCTTCTGTCTGCCTCAGGAACCTGGCCCGCCTCGGCCTCCCCTCCCCAAAGCCTACGTCCCCCTGGAGTCTCCTCCAGCCGTCCCTCCACTCCCTAGCGAGAGCCGCTTCTGGCCCTACCCCAGCTCCCCTTCCTGGCACCGCAGTGGCGAGACAGCCAGGGGGCAGGTACCCATCACCCTTGGGTCCTGGAGGGTGGGGCAGGGGACAATGGGCAGAGGGCCAGGCCAGGGGGCAAGGCAGGGCCCTGGAGTCATTTTCCCCATTAATTTTCCCAGAGTTCGGTTTCTATGGCGCCCCTGCTCAGCTGGACTCTGGGATAAGGAAAGGATAGTTGAAGCCATCACACAGGCCATCTTTCTGTGCCTTTTTGCTTTCTGTAGGTGATGGGGACATGAGTTACTGCTCCAACCCCAGGCTCATGGGAAGCCAGTGTTTGTGGGTGCTAGTATTATGCCCCACTCCCTACCAACATGACCAGCCAATGGGAACTGAGTGACACTCCCAGCAGTGCCATTCCGATCCCTTCGTGTGTCCATTCCAGGCCCCACTCCGCCCATACTATCTCTCTGCCTCCACCTTGTATTGTGTCCTCGCTGGGTTTCATGAGTTCCTGGAGTATAAGGATACAGGCCCTTTTCTCTCCTGTTCTGGCCTGTTGTCTCACCTGCATCCCTAGCCAAGATCCAGGAGCTATGCAGTTAGGTTTGGAAGAGGTTGTGTGGTGAGTAGAAAGAGTCCTGTGCCTAAAATTGGAAAACTCATATGTTCATCTAGGTTTAGCTATGTATAATTTGCATAACCCTTGAGGGTTTGCCTGGTGAGATGGGCAGAGCAGGTAATGTTACCCGTATGTGACAGACGAAGAAAGGGGACCTCTGTTCTCTAGTTGGGCTAGAACTGGAGTTGCTGACCTTTAGCCTGGTCTTCTTTCTGTATTCTTCTCACTGAGGCTTAGATTCTTCAACTGTACCATGGGAGCAGTGGCTCAGATGATGGCTGAGGTCTCTTCTAGTCTCATGATTTTGTGAGCCCACACACTAAGTGCCCTTTTCATTTCCCTAGAATCCTGGTACCAAGGCCCGCCTGGTTCTGTTTGCTCATGTCTTGGGTAGGATTCCCTACAGGATCCTCAGAGACCCCCCATTGGCCATTCCTTGACTCTGGCTCACAGCAAGTCTGTGGTTCTTAGTGTCAGCCAAAACAAATGGTCAGGCTGAGGGGCCTCCTAGGGGCTATGAGCTCTCATTCCCCAAGATGGCCCATCATTGACCCTACTTAAAGTGCATGGATGGGAGGCTCCAGTGCATCCCTGTCCGCCTCCCAGGTGGCACACATAGAATTTCCTTGTTCCCTGTATCTGCAAGGGTTTGAGCTTCAACCATTGCAAAACAAAGAAACGTCACTGGGGACCAAGTTCCTGACAGCCATACTAACATCAGTCATCTTCTTGCCCTTTCTCTCCAGCCCAAGGCAAGCTACGAACAAAGCAAGAAAGACCCCCACCAGACATCATCCCTGGACACCCCCAGAGACATCAGCCTTGTGCCCACCAGACAAGAGGTAGAGGCAGAGAAGCAGGCAGCTCTCAACAAAGGTACTTTGTGACCCATCTTCCCCTAGAAGTAAGGCAAGGATGCTCAGGGAGGAGCCTTCGGTGCACATTCACACCCAAAGCCTGGTGCCACACCCTGAGCTTTTTAATCTCGGTGGAGAGTGGGGCTGAGCCTGTCTCTGAGAAATTGGCTTCCTGACTTCCTGCTCTCCATGAGGCCCACTGGCTACTCTGTCTTTCTGCAGTTGGTGTTGTGCCCCCTCGGACAAAATCACCCACTGATGACGAGGTGACCCCATCCGCAGTGGTGAGGAGGAATGCCAATGGGTTCACCAATGGACTCTCCTCCCAGGTGGGTACCTCTGAGAGCTCATGCAGGCCTGAGCTGGGCTGCAAGCCCAGGGGCCTGTGTGTGTACCCACCCATCTCCCTCTGCTGTTCAAGAAACTCAGGGCTGGAGAGGAAGGTGGAACATGTGGGAGGTGGGGCAAGAGCCCCACTGGAGGAGGAGCTCTCCTGCAGGGAGATGTGTCAGGGGATGAGGAAGCTATGCTGCATTAGTCAGGGTTCTCTAGAGGAACAGAACTAATAGGATATATTTTATATATATATATATATATATATATATATATATAAAGGGGAGTTTATTAAATATTAACTTACATGCTCACAAGGTCCCACAATAGGCCGTTTGCAAGCTGAGGAGCAAGGAGAGCCAATCCAAGTCCCAAAACTGAAGAACTTGGAGTCCAGTGTTCCAGGGCAGGAAGCATCCAGCACAGGAGAAAGATGTAGGCTGGGAGGCTAGGCCAGTCTCTCCTTTTCATGTTTTTCTGCCTTCTTTATATTCACTGGCAGCGGATTAGATTGTGTCCACCAGATTAAGGGTGGCTCTGCCTTGCCCAGCCCACTGACTCAAATGTTAATCTGTTTTGGCAATACCTTCACAGACACACCCAAGATCAATACTTTGTATCCTTCAATCCAGTCAAGTTGACACTCAGTATTAATCATCACAAGTCCACCCCTTGTCAACTTGAACCCATGCACATCTCCTGAGATCATACATAATCTTCAAATAAAGACAATAATAAGGTCATAATTACACCTAACATAATACGACTATCCTTCATACAACCGGAAACACACCAATCCCCAACCCAAACACTATCACATAAAGTTAACAATACTTAAATGCTGATGTGAGGTCACTAAATCCTATGTCATATGATAAAGGAAAAAGAAATAAAATATTTTCCTTAGCACAAGTGCATGCATGCACAAACATATTTTTAGCAAAAGAGGGAGGAAATACTCATGACCATTACAGTCCCTGCTTCTGCAGCTGGTCACGTGGTCGTAGCTGGTATTGATGACCACTTCCTTCTGCTATCCATTCTGTATTCCCTCTGCCTTCAGCAAGCACCTCAGCAGGTCGTGGTGTTTTTCCTGGTGGAGTGACCAAACTTTCATTCCTGAGGGGTCTGGGCCATTTGTAATCCTGCCTGGATTAAGCTGTTGTAGTTTCCCATTGACCTTAATCACAGGATCTCTTAATACTAAGAGATGCCCTAATGGATCTCCTGTATTCCATGCATATTCTTCCTTACTTCCATTGTGGAGTAGTAGACTGATTTCATCTTGATAGTCCGGGTCAGTCACCCCAGCCAACACTATAACTCCCTTCTTAGCCTGTTGATTTAAAGGTAGGAGGAGCCCAAAGTGTCCAGGTGGCAATCTTAACTTTCAGTTTAATGGAATTGTTGTGTCTCCTGGTAGCATATCGAGGGCTCAGTGTTGGTTTCTGTTGCTGGCAAATTGGGCACTCAGCAGTGGCCATAGCCAGGGCAGCGTTGGTGAGTGGAAGTCCATGTTGCTGAGTCCATGCGTAACCCCCATCCCTGCCATCATGGCCACTTTGTTCATGGAACCATTGGGTGGCTGGGAAAAGAGGCTGAGTGGTGTCCACAGAATGAGTCATCCTATTCATCCTGGATGGATCCTGGATAATAATCCTATCCAGGATTATTAAAATCCTCCTCTGCTGAGGTCACCTGTTGGTGGGCACTCACATAGTATACAAATATCTTCATGGTTTCTGACCCCTCACAGAGGTCCATCTACATACCTCTTCCCCAAATTTCTTTGTCACCAATTTTCCAATCGTGCTTCTTCAAAGTCCCTGACCATCCAGCCAAACCATTGGCTACAGCCCGTAAATCAGTATATAATCACACATCTGGCCATTTCTCCTTCCATGCAAAGTAAACAGCCAGGTGCACTGCTTGAAGTTCTGCCCACTGGGAAGATTTCCCTTCACTGCTCTCCTTCAGGGATGTCCTAGAAAGGGGCTGTAGTGCTGCAGCTGTCCACTTTCAGGTGGTGCCTGCATATCGTGCAGAATCATCTGTGAACCAGGCCCTAGTCTTCTCTTCCTCTGTCAACTGATCATAGGGAACTCCCCATGAGTCCATCAGTGCAGGGTAGGGGAGAGAAGGCACGGTGGCAGGAGTGGAGGCCATGGGCATTTGAGCCACTTCCTCATGTAACTTACTTGTGCCTTCAGGACCTGCTCGAGCCCGATCACGTATATACCACTTCCATTTGATGATGGAGTGCACCACCCACTTTATGGCTAGATGGACCAGAAAGCACCCAGTTCATGATAGGCAGTTCAGGTCGCATGGTGACTTGGTGGCCCACAGTCAAACATTCAGTTTCCACCAAAGCCCAGTAACAGACCAAGAGCTGTCTCTCAAAAGGAGAGTAGTTATCTGCAGAAGATGGCAGGGCCTTGCTCCAAAATCCTAGAGGCCTCTGCTGTGATTCATCTATGGCAACCTGCCAAAGGCTCCAAAAACATCCCTATCTGCCACTGACACCTCAAGCACCATTGGATCTGCTGGGTCATATGGCCCAAGTGGCAGAGCAGCTTGCTCAGCAGCCTGGACCTGTTGCAAAGCTTTCTCTTGTTCTGGACCCCACTCAAAACTGGCAGCCTTTCAGGTCACTCGATAAATGGGCCAGAGCAACACACCAAATGAGGAATATGTTGCTTCCAAAATCCAAATAGGCCTGCTAGACTTGTGCCTCTTTCTTGGTTGTAGGAGGGGCCAAGTGCAGCAACATATCCTTCACCTTAGAAGGAATATCTTGACAGGCCCCACACCACTGTACCCCTAGAAATTTTACTGAGGTAGAAGGTCCCTGAATTTTAGTCAGATTTATTTCCCATCCTCTGACATGCAAATGTCTTATCAATAAGTCCAGTGTGTTTGCTACTTTTTGCTCAGTGGATCCAGTCAGCATAAGGTCATCAATGTAATGAACCAGTGTTATATCTTGCAAAAGTGAAAAGCTATCAAGGTCTTTCTGAATAAGATTATGACACAAAGCTAGAGAGTTGATATACCCCTGAGGTAGGACAGTAAAGGTATATTGCTGGCCTTGCCAGCTGAAGGCAAATTGCTTCTAGTGGGCCTTATGGACAGGAATGGAAAAAAGGGCATTTGCCTTGTCAATGGCTACATACCAGATACCAGATGTGTGAATTTGCTCAAGCAATGAAACCACATCTGGTACAGGCAGCTGCAGTTGGAGTCACCACTTGGTTAAGCTTATGATAATCCATTGTCATCCTCCAAGATCCATCTGTCTTCTGCACAGGCCAAATGGGAGAGTTGAATGGGGATGTGGTGGGAATCATCACCCCTGCATCTTTCAAGTCCTTGATGGTGGCACTATCTCCACAATCCCTCCAGGGATGTGATATTGTTTTTGATTTACTATTTTTCTAGATAGAGGCAGCTCTAATGGCTTCCATTTGGCCCTTACCACCATAATAGCCCTCACCCTACCAGTCAGGGAGCCAATGTGGGGGTTCTTCCAGCTGCTAAGTATATCTATGCCAATTATGCATTCTGGCACTGGGGAAATGACCACAGGATGAGTCTGGGAACCCTCTGGACCCTCTGTAAGTCAGACCTGAGCTAAAACTCCATTAATTACCTGACCTCTATAAGCCCCTACTTTAACGGGAGGACCACAGTAACATTTTGGGTCCCCTGGAATCAACATCAGCTCAGAGCCAGTGTCCAGTAGTCTTCGAAATGTCTAATCACTTCCCTTTCCCCAATGCACAGTCACCCTGGTAAAAGGCCAGAGGTCTCCTTGGAGAAGGATGGAAGAAAGAGTCACTGCATAAATTATCGGTAATGTAGTGGGGTCCTTCCTCAAGAGGACCCAGCCTCCCCTTCATTCAAGGGATTCTGCATCTGTAAACTGGCTTAAGTCTGGAAACTGACTGAGAGGCTGTGATTCTCTGTTTTTATAATTCAAATTAGTCTTTTGTCCATTTGACTTAGAAGTTTTCTGCTTTATAAATTAAGTAGGAATGCAGTAGGCTCCCTACCAATTTCACTTCTAGGAATACCAGGATTAATTAGCCAATGACAGAGGTCTACACGAGTCAGACTATACTGATTGCTGTTTTACCTCTGCTGTCCATTACAGTAGCTACACCCACCTTGCCTTTGATGGTTGAGTGCCACCACTTGGACCCTGCCACCTCGGGATCCAATTATTCCCATTGTATTTAAATTTTGTAGTTGAGTGACTGCAGTTCCCACCATTAGATCTGACATGCAGAAAATAGCAATTATAGGGCTCTTCAAAGATGCAAGTGCTGCCCTCACAAATCTCTTTCATAATGCATTGGTCAAGGGTGTATCTTCTGGACTCTCCCAGCTGGAATGAGTAGGTCTAAAGTGACTAATCCACTCCACCATCCCAGTCTCCCTGAGCCTTTGGATCCCTTCCTCTACATTAAACCAAGGGAGATCAGGCATTTCCAGCTTGCTCACAGTGGGCCATCTTTTAATCCATATTTCAGCTAACCAAGCAAATAAACTATTAGAACCTTTTTTAACTCCCTGAGCTGCAACATTAAATGTAGAGTCCCTACTTAGTGGGTCCAAATCAATAAATTCAGCCTGATCCAACACTATGTTCCTTCCACCATTATCCCACACTCTTAATATCCATTCCCATGCCTGTTCTCCAGATTTCTGCTGATATAAATTAGAGAATGCAAATAGTTCTTTTAGAGTGTAGCATACCTCCTCATGGGTCACACTCTTAACCTCGCCTCTAGGGGCCCACTGGGGTTTTAGTCTAGCTGTAGGTCTAGAAGCAAACAGAGGCGTTGGGGGTGCCTCCCGAGGAGAATCAACATTATCTTGCCTGGCAACTGCTTCAGGGGAGGCCATGACTGTTGCCTCTGGTAGCACAGGGTTTATCTCCTCAGACAAAGGTGGAAAGGCTGATGGCAGCATGGGTCGGGGAGGGGATGTT